CCCCCGTCGTGTGGCTTGTGGCACCATGGTCCGTGCAGGCATGTTTTGCACGTCACCCCGATCTCTCGAAGTCTCTCAGCCAGCTTTAGCTGTTCCTGCCACGTAGTCTTGATTTTGGGAGGTTTTGCGTTGAGGGGTCTGCTCTCCCCCCCTTTTGGGCCTCCACTGAGGCTGCTGGAACTCGCCATAGATCTCCCCCACGAAGCCAGGACGATCACCAAGGGTTCCACAGTGAGATAGTATGCTCCGTCCCCCTACTAGAGGGCCACCCCCCGAAGAGGGGCCTCGTTCAGGTTCTGGAGAGGCGCGAAAGGAAAAGGGGCCACTTGAGCAAAGTAGCGACAGGCGTGGAGCTCAAGCACCACAGGGTTGAACGGGAAGGCTCCCTCGAGGGCACAACCTCGAGGTAACCCCCCGTCCCCCCCTGCACAAGAGGGCGGCACAGGCCCCCAAGCACAGGTGTAGTACTTGAGCCAAAATGGCTACGGCAAGCTCTCTCTCTCTCTCTCTCTCTCTTTCTTGAAGGCTGTTTTCTGCAACTGTTCTGCAGCTGCCTGATGCTTGAGTGTTGGCGGAGGCCACTTGAGACTTAGAATTCGCAATGTCCTTTGCAGCCAAACTGTGAGGTGTGCTGGGAGTGTGCTGGGCTTTGGTCTCGAGATTTCGCTCGGCAACCCTTCGACTCGGACCCCGTTCGTGCTGCCTCCACGTGCTGGAACGCCAACGCACGGACCTGCAAAACCCAAACCGAAAGCAAGCCGCGCTTTCTCTGCCTCCATGGCCTGCATGAAGGGAGACGTGCCCTCAGAGACGACCTTGTGCCTTCGGCCGTGTGGTACACATCTGACAGGATGACCGGAGCCTATCTCAGACTGAATTCGTAAGGAATCTACTCCTTGTCCAGGATAATGAAACCCTGACAGCCCAGCTGCCCGTACCTGCAATGACGGTTGCCATGAGCGAAGCTGCGTGGCCACGGTGTCGCAATGCTCTGAAGGTCGCGTGGGCATGTCTCGAGCTGACTCCACGAAGCCATTAACCTCAGCTGTAACGAGTCAAGGCTGCTGCCCTTCAATGTCAAGGAGGGAGGCCATAGCACAGTGCGTAAGCTTCATCTGATTGCTCATCTCCTCTGGAAGCTCAAAGGACTTGTAACAGGTCTTGTCTTGTTGAGCAAAGCCATGCCTTGCACAAGCCATACGCAGAGCGGTCTCCCAGCACCTGAATCACTCTTTCCGGAATATCGCATGTGAAGGCAAAAGGTTGTTTAAGCTGAAGCCTCCTTTTTCGGGGATCTGGCTCAGGCATTGAGATTCTGTCCGATTGACTTGGTCCCCGGCACAGATGCAAAGGAAGTTACAGTCAAAAACGCCCTCGGCCTCGGAGACGGAGCGCACGGGCAGCTTAGGAAAAAACACTGTCGGGTTTCTGGGGTGCTTGCAGCCCAGGAGTTCATCTGCTGCGCACAGGGCCAACATCCGCCTGCCGCATGATGAGGCGACAATTGAAGGCTCGAACAGCCACGCAAGCAAGCCTCAGGAGGTGTAGAAGTGAATCACGGTCGGCTTGCCCTTGTAGTCACACCTTCCAGCTGCAAATACCATGGCCAATGGACATAGCCGTTGGTGCTGTCCTACCGTGCTTTCCCATTCAAAGAGGCATACCGAGGGCCACGCAAAGACACCTTTTTCTGCAGTGGCTTTGCCTGGCTTTCTGACAAGCTCGGCCGAGCATCAGGCTGCAAGCCTGGGGATGTAGTTTCGAGCATCACATGCGCGTGCCTCTGGGTAAGGGGAAACCAGCTCGAAGGACACCTGGCACAATGAGCAAAGGACGACCTTCCGTATTCTTGCGTGAAACGTGATCACCCAGAGCTTTTAGCTTGGAAGATGAGACGCCTCTGGTGCGCCAGCCGCGGCCATAGCCCGACGAGCCTGTTTGATGCCGCTTCACACACACACACACACAAAAAAAATTGGAAGCCAACTTTCCATGCCTGAGCTGAATTCGAAAGCCTCCGAGGGCCTAGCTTCAGCCGTGAAGCTTTTGTACAAATCGGTTGCAACCTTGCTCTCCAGAAATGCCACCAAGCAGCACACAGCCGACAGACGATTTCCCATATGCTTGCACAGTTCTTTGAGCCGCAGGGTAGCAGACGCAGTATTCAAGGTGGCACAACTTGCTTGATTCAGACAAACCGTGGTTTTGGAATTGCACTAGAGTCGCTAGAGTCCTTCCCAATTCAACGACATGTCTCCAACAAGCATGGGCGTCCTCGTCCAAAGCTTGTGAAAGAAGACTCCTTTTGGCCTGGCGGGTTGTCTTGCATTCGGTCTCACACCTGGCTATGTGGAGCGAAGAATGCCTCGAAACATCCGCTTGAACGTGAGGCAGCTACAGCCACAAACACCTATCCTTCATAAGTCGCGTACTGAAAACAAAAGTTGTGCAGTGCCACCTCGTTTGTTGGACAAAAGACTAGGTACCTTCTGAAAGAGATTGCCACCTCCTCCAGCTGCTTGGGGTCCCTCTTGTCGACAGGTCTCGAACTGGCACATCTGGAACTCTTTGCTTATGTCTTACTCCAGCAGCTGCACCACTCTGGCTGTCGGACATCAGAACCTCGATGCTTCTTGAATCTTGGGCGCGAGGAGTTGCAAGAAACTCGACCTAGCGACTGCCGCCCCACTTCGCAAAAGCCACATTCAGAAGCAGTGCTTGTTCTGCCATCCAACTACTCTGCCGGCATGCCGGCCTTTGCGGGTCGTCCACTGGCACGAAGTCTCGGGCTAGCTTCCCTGCTGCACTCAGCCTGCATGTTGTGAAGGAAAGCAGAGTCTGTTAAACTACATACCTTTTGGTTCAGCCGGACCTTGTCGGATCGGCATTCTGCTCGAGGAGCAAATGGCAAAGTGCAGAGTCTCCGCCACAGGCAGCCTCCATTGTGGTGGGAGACTTGGAGTGGGTTTGGCCTTTCCACCGGAAATTTATCGCTCTGACATGAATGCGAGAAGTCGCTTCAGGCCAAATAGTTCTATGCATCTGCCGTCGCCTCCATCAGGGCTGTCTCCCCGGTCAGGTCATCTGCGGTGTCTGGGTCTGCCCGAGCCTGGTAGTCAGTCTTGCCGTGTCTGCTCGCATGACATGTAGAAGGCAAGCAGGAAAGGCAACATAGACTCGCTTTGCGCAGCTGAGTCTGAGTGACTCATGCTTCTCTGCAAGTCCTGTCAGATGCGCATTCTGCGCATGTCCTGACAGGAGGAACTGAGAGGCCTGAAGGTCTGCCACTAGCGGCACGACCCGGTTACGCCCGCCCACTTGTTGTAATGATGCTGTAGATGTGGCAGAGACCGGGAAGGCTCAGATCTTCTACTTTTGCACTGTCAGGATCTCTGGCGAGTGCTGAAGTGAAACCACAGAAAAAATATCGCGCATCGCCGCACGACGGAAAAGGCTTGGTGATGCTCAGCCTATGTCTCCGAACCTCACAAACCAAGCTTTTCATGTGGCTTCTGTTCTGTGGCATGCGTAGCAATGGGCCACTCCAGCCTTCCGGCGCCACAGCGACGAGCTGTTCCAGCTGCTCCTCCAGCCCGGCCTGTCATCAGACATCCTGCGAATTTGGTGCCGCGGCGCAATGAAGCACAAATGGCTACATGCGGAGGACTAGCATAGCGCACACGCTGTGAATATGCCATTTTGGACTGAAGTTCCCCTCAGCAAGTTGGCTTACACAAAGGTGTGGCTTTCGACCACTTCTGCGAAGACACAAGATCGACTGGAAGCTGCCTCCGCGGCACCTGTGTAGGCAGTGAAAAAGCACTGCAACTGTCGTCCCGCAACTAAAAAAACACTTCATCCGCCCACCTCCGGCTGTCTCAGCCTGTCGGCGCCTGGTGAGCAGCATCGCTGTCAGCTTGGACACGCCGATTTGGTTCGCAGGTGAAGTAAACCTTGCAGATGCACTGTGTCTCGCCGCAGTTGGTACTTATGATGTGCGCACCCTAAAGGGCTGCACGCACAAACTGAACTTTCTAGAACTGGCCAGCAATTTTTGCGTGTTTTCTGGCAGCAGCCGGGCAATTCCGATTTTAAGGCTTCTGTTCTGCGGCATGCCTGTGGGAAATTTCAATTTGCATCGTCCTGTCTTGAGTCAGTTTTTGGAGAATTCCACCGCACAAGGTCCGGCTTTACAGCAGACATTGGAAACGTACAATTTGTCAAGAATGTCTTTGGAGACAAAGATTATGAAAATCGTATTGCAGCTTCCTGTCTTGGGGAAAGCTGTTGGGGAATTCAGATTTGCAGGGGTATAGGGTTGAAAAACAATTTCGGGCACTGCTGGAACAAAGATAGGCGCACTGGGGCCCTGGTGGATTCGCGGCTCGGTGGATTCGCACCCCTCAGGCAGCCCCCTGAACGGAACTGGCGCAGCGTGGCGAGTTGTTTGGGCTCCGGACAACACAAATACAGCCCACCAGCTCCCATGAGCTCGTTGTGACCGGCCCCAAGAGGCACGACTGTCCAATTTCGACTCAAATTACATCTCTCCACTCAGATTTCAAAATTTTCAAAAAGCAACCTCCCACAATTTCCTTTCCCTCAGCCGGGCCCAACCCCCACTCTCATCCTCCCCTCCCTGCCCCAGCCCTCTCGCTTCACCCCTTTCCTTCTCCGTCCCTGTTTTTGTGCTCTGCCAACTGTCAGACCACAAGCTTAAGCCTCAAATCCAGGCCACACCTCGGGCTTGAGGATCGGCTTTGGCGTTGGAGGATGAGGTCCGTTGCAGGGTGCGGGGTGTTTCGGGTTTAGCGAGGCTGGCCTCTGGGGGAGGATTCTACCTCTTCGTTTGCAGCTACAGCATCCCCTAAACCAGAAAAAACTTGCCTTCTGTCACCCCGAAGCCATCCAGACGAGATCCCATTCAAAACCTGGATAGAAGGTCCTTGAGACTTCAAACGTTCGGCCACACTGTGCTCTCTCCCCCCCCCCGCCCGCCGCATTCTTGCTGGCCGGGTCCAGGCGGTCGACGCGAAGCGTTTGCAACAGAGACTTACAGACACAACACACAACAGAATCTTATAAGGCCGTGCAAACCCCTTCAACTGAGAATCGACATCACCGTAGTTCAGAAAGCATCCACGCTCCCCGTACAGCCAAACAACACCCCTCGAACGGAAAGCAAGAGCTTGAAGGTTGAGATACCGAACATGCAGGGAATGCCCTAAAACCCCGCAAGCCCTGAAAGCCCAAATCTCAAAACCAGCAATCCATTCTTATCGCCAAACCCTAAAACCCAAAGCCCTGAAGCATCAAAAACAAGCAGATGTCCCTCCTATAGTGATATCTTTGATGTCTCAAACACAACATGCGTGTGTGTGTGTGTTTGTTTGTGTGAGTATGCATGAAGGTATGAAGGTATGTAGGTATGTATGTATGTATGTATGTATGGGTATATATATATATGTGTGTGTGTGTGCGTCTGTGTGTATATATATATAAACGAGCGAGCGAGCGAGCGAGAGAGAGAGAGAGAGAGAGAGAGAGAGAAAGAGGGAGCGAGCGAGCGAGAGCGAGAACGAGAGCGAGAGCGACATGTGCATGCCACTGCCTTTGAGACTTGGAGACACTGTGAACCTTGTTTGCTTGCTAGCTTGCTAGGCATACCAGTATGGGAAGTTGGATGCGAAGCCCTCCCTCCCTGCACACAGGGAGGGAGGGCTCAGTTCGTGTCGTCACTGCTGGTTGACATGTCAAAATCCTGGGGCACATTGAGCCTGGATTCTTCTGCGACATGCCGAGTCATGCTGATCGCTAGTCATGCCTCCGTTCATGCAAGGTTCTTTCTGGCTAACTCCTCCAGGACTGCAAGCTCATCCGCTTCTTTCACGTGCAAGCCTAGGTATCTCATGTGCCCGAGACGAACGTGCCTTTAACTTGTGTCACTCATGCATTGTCAGGGCGGGTTTACTTGTGCTGTTGCACGCTGCCGAGTTTCCCTCGATCTGCTCAAGCTCTTGCGCCAACATCCTGACAGGACTGTGCTATGGGTGTTGTACACAAAGAAAGGCGCAGTCCTGACAGAATCCGAGAGCCATGATGTTATTTAGACATGGTAGCACTGATGAAGACTGAGCAGGGTCTCCGCCGTTGCATTGCTCGCATCTTCTGCGGATTCTGTGGCTCGGGTGCCTCGAAGGGCGGAAAAAGCGACATGTAGATCAGCTATGCGATGCGGATCAAACCCCACCACACACACACACAACCAACTGCAACACCGACATGTCGGAAATGAGATTCTTAGGGAAAGTCGAAAGAGGCGACAGGGCATCGTGCAGAAGCGAAACGGTTTGTCAGCGCCTTGGCTTCGCGCCTGCAGAGTCGCTCGGTGACGTCGCCTTCACCTGAGCAGCACGATCGTGCAAGAAACTGGGCCATTTTTGAAGATCCGGAGCTGGCAAACATTTCAACTCCTGCATCTAGCAGTGTTTGCAGCCAAGCGTCGTTGGAGCAGCTGTGCTTTGCGGGAAATCCGCGGCCGAAAGCTGGGCTCTTCTGTGCGCCTGGGCATGTGGCGAATCTATCGCTGCCTGTGTCACTGTTTGCTAGTCGGCAAGCATCTCCATCTGCATTCTCGGCGCACAAACACTCACGAGTTCCGAAGCGCCGCTCGTGCGTAGAAACCGCTGCAATGTGCTGCTTCAGGGCTGTGCTTGGTCTCGCTCAAGTCCAGACTCAAGCCCTGGAGCCCTGACGCAGACTCCAAGTGCATCCAAGACACGTCGCACGCTTCTTCTGTTTCTGGTGAACACGGTCATGCCAGGGCTCCCCAGCGTCGAGTACGTGTCTGCGGGTCGTGGTGACATGGTGTGCTCTTGCGCATGGGAATGGCCTTCTTCGGAGACCTTTAGATTTCTGCACGAATCGCTAGTCGCGCAACTCCGAACTTCGGCCTGAAGATTGCTTTGCTGCGCTCGTTGATTTTCGGCTGAAAGGTGTGCTCAGCAGCTTCCACTTCCTTCTTCGCGTTGACAGCCTCTGTCACCTGGAAGTCTGCGCGCGCAAAAGCGGTCATGCTTTGATTTTGCATCGTGCACCTCTGCAGAAAGACAGATGTGAAATGATGTGAAGCAGCTGCCTTGCGATTGCGGATCACGGACCGCGTGACGTCTTCTTTTCGGCTCCACGGCGGGGCGTAGCCTCGGAGTCAGCCCGTTTATACGGCCGGGATCTTGCTCCATCGTGAAATTTCGACCAGCTGCCCAGGCCTGCTCCAACTAGCTTGCGTGACTCTGCAGTGATGGTGGGCGAGGCCAACATCTGAGTCTCCTGAACATTACCGTAACGCACTCGCACTGGATCGGATGCAGCCGGTATACGTTATACGTCGCACGTGCAGGTCACACCAACAAGCAAAATTTTGGACCTCTCACCGGCTCTCGAGAAACCCACGATGTCGTGAAACACAACAGCGACATGAGCGACGGCAGGTTGGCTGAAGCGCACTCCGCTCCACCCGACGGCACCGCTCCTGGTCGTCCTTTTGCTTTTGAGCTGTTTCCACTTTGGCTTGCCGTTGCTTTATGAACTCGACGTTGCCTCAGTCCACTTGCGTGGGAAGACCCAGCAGGCTGTGCAGAAAAGAGTGCAGTGACTTGCGACGTTCGAATGTCCCAAACGGGCAACGCTCGTATGTTGCCATAGGTGGGCTTTGCGCGCACGTCGGAGACCTTCATGAAGCAGAGGTCTCTGACAAAGAGTCAAAGCTCTTCTTGGCGGCCTCTTTTGGCTTCGTGGAGGAGGCCCGAAGAGCGTATAGTGCGAACCAAGTTGGTGACCCTGCGGCCTGTGAACAGCAAACTTCGGACCCACTACTGATTGGAATGATGTTTTCGCCAAACGCCAGGCCTCTTGATTGACCACTGATTTGTAGATGGACTGCTTGGTGAGCTGAAGCTGACCGCACCTGTGAATGTTGCACCAGATCCCAAAGGTGGAAAACCCTAGCTGCAGCGAACTTTCAGGGACCTGGTGATTGTGCCGGAGATGCTTTGGAACTCTCTGCAGATGTGGTCCTGAAACAGAAATAGATGATCAAGTGTTTGAAGAAAGCCGGCAGGATTCCAGAGCCTGCGAATGGAGTTGACATCATTGAGTGCAGCAGACTGTAGCAGCAATGAGTCAACCTTCTCAGACAAGCTGTCAACATTTGAGGCCGACAGGATTACAAGCCGCCTGTGCAGAAAGCGTTGTCATGAAGTTCGTCGAAACCATGTCTGTGCGCCGGGTGCGCTGGCTCGACTGCACTTCATCATGGGTAGTCTCCTCGCAATCTGCAGCAGGTGTTCGGCTGCACTCAAGCTGCCACTTGTGATCGAAGCCTGTGTGCGGCCTACCAGCCTGCAATGTCTGCAGGACATCGCACGACATGCCAAGTACTACTGTAGTTACTAGCCTCTGCTCGCTAGCGCAAGTTGTGGTAAGTCCTGCAGCAAGGCCTCTGCCAAGAGAAGCTGCTCTTCGTGGGAATAAGCAGCATCCTGTTTGAATTCGCTGACAGGGGCATAGGTCATTTCGGCTACAGCTGGGCAAGTGCGCTTCGCGGAAGATCCTGCAGCAGAACAGGTTCTTCTGCAACCATGGCTCGAGCGATACGGAAGGGTGGGGTAATTCAGCTTTTGTACCGAAGACGGACGGCTGGTAGGCACTTTCTCTTCAAATGCATTGCGGGATGGCAATTCAATTGAAACATCCTTTAGGGTCAGGAAATCAAATCCTGGAGACTCTGCGATGTGCAAGAAAACCGCTGTTCAGAGGGACAGGAAGCTGCGGATGGACTTAGTACTGGCCGATTCGTAGGCGAGGTGCATCCAGAACGCAAGACAAAGCTCAGAATGCAATGGATGCCATGTGGAGGAAAAGGTCTGAAGTATCATGAAGTAGCCTCCAAAAGGTGACGCACTGGCAGGAGTCTTCCGTTTCCCAGCTCCTGCATCACTGGCTCTGCGGCAGTTTCGGTGCTGTTCCCGACGGGTGACTAACCCCACGCTGGGTCTCCGGACCTGCCTACCAGACCTTTCAGTAGAGAAGCACATCCCGGCTGTGTTGTTTCAGTCCTGTGTAGCTTGCGCGAAGGCTCCTGGCACACGCCAGATACTCCCTCAACCGCAAATTTCAAAGCGAGGGACAGGTTGAGCGTGTCAGCAGTTGCCGTGAAAGCCGATTTGCGATTGGCGGTCCCAAACTTGAAAGGCAGGCCCTGAAAAACGAAAGCTCAGCGTCCGTAATGGTGGTGGTAGTAATACCAGTAGTAGCAGTAGCACTAGTAATGTGGCGGCAAGTAAAAAGGGGTCCCACCCCCCTTGACCAAGAGTTTGCGGTATAATCAATCTGTTGCGCGTGACCCCCTCGACCTTGGTTCGGTAAATTGGCGCTTGGGTTGGTGACTGCTTCAGAAGTGGGAATAGAAGGGTCTGAGAAGGGAAGTTTAGGGTTTAAGGTAAAGGAGGTCTAGGGGTTTAGGGTGGGCTTAGGTCGTGGTGCTTATAAGAATGACCATTAGCAGAAAGGAAGCAACACAACCAAAAATCAGCCGGCCCAAAACAAAATGCAGTAGTATTAGTAGTAGCAGCAGCAGCAGTAGTACTAGTAGTAGTAGTAGTCGTCGTCGTCGTAGTAGCACTCGTAGTAGTCGTCGTAGTAGTAGTGTAGTCGTGGTCGTCGTCGCCGTCGTCGTAGCCGAAGCCGCTTCTACCTCTGAAGGATCGAGTTCGTCGACACCACCTAGCGAATTCTTCCACCATGCTTCATTTTCTTGGGACGACGAGCTCACAATGGCAGACACCATAAGAAGAGGGTTTCTACAAGGGAGGTGTCTGGCAGAAACGTGCGCGCACAGAAGAAGAACCTCGTGAATGCAGGAGGACAGGGTCAAGTTCGCCAGGCGAAACGTGCAGCTCGAATTGACTCCGGTGTGTCCCCCGGCTCAGCAGGCGGCACCCCATTCATGTCGTTCTGTTTGCGTGTTGCACAAGTTTGATTTCTTGGGAGGCTTCGAAGGTGGAACCGAAGTGTGTTGACTTTGTTTGAAACAAATGACGCAAGCTTTCAGAGACCGTAAAGCCAGGCCCAGGCTCTGGCGCTGGCGGGGCGGCCTGCTGTTTTTGGCGGCTTGTTGGCCGTATTCCCTGCCTTTCGCATCGCTCTCCATTTCGGAATGCCTTTCCGGCTGCAGCCAGCTCATCCTTCGTTTTGGGCGTTCATCTCACGCACTTGGTTGGAAAAAGCTGCATGCAATGATTCTTCTGTTTCATTAAGAAGTTGTAACGGAGACCCAAGAAGTCGAGAGCCTCGGCCTTGTTTGGTTCACCGTCTTCGACCAGAGTAGTTCTAAGTCTTGTCACTTCTGACTGGTGGCGATTTTGAAAAATGAGTTCCATGTTCTGCATTTGTTTGCGGCATGCGGACACTGCACTCAGCAACAACTTTTCCTGTTGGGAAGCTCGTTTGATTTCAGCCTTGCATTCATTTCCATGGATACGATGAATGCCTGCTGCTGTGCATAGGCCCTGTGTCTTCGTTCTGCTTCAGCTTTGGTCTGCGAATCTGCGGCTCTTGCCTGGTCTGCTGTTTCTCCTACCTGCGTGTACTGTTGGTAAAGCGTGTGATGTTCTTGGTTCACGTTCAAGGTAGGTGATATGTTCACTGGGTTAAAGATACCCTCTAGCGATGGCGCAGCTGAGGTCGAGGCATTTAAGTCCGGCACTGCTGAATTGCTTTGTAAAGCCCCAATCACTGTACCAATAACACCACCATCATCAATACCCAGTGCTTCATCTGACATGACTGATATTGTAGCCACTTCGGTGGGTATCAAGGATGGCGAGCGATCGCTCATGTACCACAGCTAAAGTAGACCAGTTTGTAGCAAATACGGCTGATAAGCTATGGAATCCACAGGGTATGCGATAAGCCATGAGCATTAGGAATGCGTCCTTCTCTACTCGGAGGGCTTGAGTTCAACAGTCATGGCATGACCAAACATGATGACTGTACGCAAACACATAGAATCCTACGCTGGGGCAACCCGAAGCCCGGACCCAAACCCCTACACCGATGCGCGCGCCGGGCGCGCCCCTAAACCCGACCCTAAACCCAAACCCCCAAGCCCCCCAACCCCTAAACTCTATAAACGCTGAAGCGACGTGCACGCCGGGCGAGCGTACCGAGCGCGCGTAACCCCAAACCCTAAAAACCCTAAACTCTTCAACCCTAAACCTTACCCTGAACCGATGCGCCACTAAACCTTAATCCCTAAACCCAAACCAATAAACCCCAAAATCCTTCAAACCCTGAACCGATGAGCGCGCCGGGCGCAACCCTAAACCCTAATCCCTGATTCAAACCCTAAAAGGCCCTAAACTCATAAACCCTACATAGCCCTACAACCCTACAACCCCTGAAACCCCGAAGCCCTAAACCCACAAATGCAAGCCCCTAAACCCTGCACCGATAAGCGCGCCGGGCGCGCACAACCCTTTTCAACCCTGATCCGTAATTAAACCCCTAGACTCATAAACCCTAAACCTAAACCCCTACCTTGGGGGTTCAGGGCAAGGTTTAGGGGCGCGCCTGGCGCGCGCATGCAAGTGGTGCAAATGGTATCCAAGTATTTGCGGTAATCTTGGTTCGCAAGTGGTGCAAGTGGTCTCCGAAGGGCGAGTGGTACAAGTGACCTCAAGTGGTGCGGTGCAAGTGGTTCGAGATGACCAAAATTACAATTATCACGTCCACTTAACAAAAATAGAAACCAAGACGAACAAAATGACGCGTCATTTTGCCCCCCTCCCGGCGCAAGCAAGATGGTTAACATGGCGGTCATTTTGCCCCCCCCCACATGACCAAAGTTGCCAAAATGACTTGCAACGAAAACGGTTCTGGCGTGCCCGCACAATGATGTAGTAGTAGTAACTTAGTAGTAGTCGTCGTCGTCGTCAGTAGTATGTCCCACTTTCACATGCCATTGACGATCGAACATTTTACTAGCTTCCCATCCAAACATCGGGCACATTGCGCAAGCAGCTGCGGAGGAGGACAGCTATTCATCTTTTCCTACGCAGCTCTGCTCCAGATGTATCAATCTACCCCCTTGCCCCATTCTCCCCCCCACTCCCCAAAAACATAGAATCCTGTGAAACTTTCAATTTCCCCGTCCGCTCCCTAGCCGTAGTATGCAATCCCTTGAACGGTTGTTCAATCTTGCCTCCCTAGTGCCCCACCAATACTGCAGAATACTATGCATTATTTGGCCTCCGTCTGCCCCACTTGTAGGCAAGACGCACCCAAAGCGAGTGGTTTTTTTGAGCAATAATAACAGAGGAATCGAGCCCACTCTCGAAGGACCCAAGAAGCCTGCCGTGGCTCGCGCGGCCAAGATCAGGGGCGATTCCTGGTGACCGTGTTCTCAACAGAAAGGCCCGAAGGGCCCAAGCTGGAGAGGCTGCAAGATACACTTTACAGTATGGGTTTCAGACTGCAGGATCCACATTTGCTTTTGGATGTCGTTTCCGTAATCCCGACTAGCAGCAGAAGTGAGGAGCAGAAACCTTAACTGCCTCCACCTCCTGCTGAATCAGAAGACTCTTCCATCAAACTTACCTTCAGGCGAACCTGGAGCTCAATCAAAGTGGAACAAGATAGAACGACGCACTGATGAACGAAACAGCTGGAAGTAACAGCTTGGCTTGCTGATGTCGGCCGAGGAGTTAGACTAGGAACGTCAGAGGCTTCAACATGCTGCCGTGAACTGGCGGGCTCACCCCTAAGCTGTTGAGGCTGCATGGGTTGGCCCGACGGCCCAGCAGCAGCTTCAGGACATTGAAACCTCAAAGACTCAAGACGTTCACATGCAAAGCACCCAAGTATTCTGCAAGCTGATACTGTACACTGATGATCTCTAGACACTGGCAACGGATGAACTTTACGCACATTCCTTCAATGCAAGCCATGTTCATCTGTCTGCTTGTCAGGGTATCTGAGAATCCTGCCTTCGTCTGAAACTGGGTCAACCTCGCCCAGCGCATCAGCACAAAGATGAAGCAGCGTCTGCCTCGACAGACTCGTTGCCGTCAGTTGTAGCTTCAGGATTCACGGGACCCGCTTGGCTCGACATGGGTCTTAATTTGGTCACCATGCGACAGGTGTTTTGCTGCGCTCGCAGCTCACACCAAGTACTATGCCCAGCCTCTACTGATCCGATGCTGGTAGGTCAAATACTTTCGGCATTAAGAAGACTTCCGATGGATAAGTATTTAATCTTCTGTAAGTTTCCATGTCACGGCCTCTGCATTGTTCAACATCTCGATGCAGTCTGAGGCGAGAGCCCATCTTCGTCTGTGGCACATAAGGCATTCTGGGCATCTGGTAGTTCCTGTAAAATGGGCAACTGGAGGAATAGAGGAGCTTTAATCAGCTGCGCGAGGCTGCTTCCAGCCTGAAGCAACTTGGAGGTGGCCCCGAAATCCAAAGCCGAGACAGCCAGCTTTAGTTCCTGGTCAGAATCTCGCGCTGAGCAAGCCAGCATGTTTCGAATCTCTGAAAGGCTGCACGGTGCATTGCGGTCCTCCATGGGCTGCTTGGGCAGCTGTCGCTGCACTGATGGCGATTCATGTGCGCAAAGTTGATTCTATGACTATTGCGAAGTGGAGAGATTTCCATGAACCTAAATACCTGCCACTATGACTGCTGCTAGCTGAGATATTTCGAGGTATGTAACTGCATTGGAACACACAGAGGCCGCTCCCGTAGCCGACGGGGCCTGCACCGCAGGAAAAAGTACACTCCTGACAATCTCTTGGTGGCCCCCAGGATGTTACTGGGGGAAGGTTTTTCCTGCGGCTCAAAACCTGAAGCGATGAACCACACACACATATGCAAAGGAGAGGCTTCTGTACCCGGTTCAAGAGCGTAAGTACTGTCGAACCACCAGCTTTTTTATTTGTGCGCCCACACCAGCTTGGGATGGAAGATCATCCAGCACCTACCCTCGGTGATAAGTGCTTTTGGAATCAGCTGTCTATCAATGGGCTCCTGATGTGCCTCTGCTCACGCTTCATCTCCATCCTCATGTCAAGAAGGCATGAGCTGTGCTCACGGAATAAAACTTAAATGTCATGAACGCCAAGCTCTAAGGTGGCACTGTGTCCGGATTGCCAGGCCTCCATTGCCAGTTCACTTGCCCCTTCCAGCGCATTGGTGGCATATGCCTAGCAAGCATCTGCAGGGCCACGTGTCGTAGGTTGTTGGAGCATTGCAGTGCCCGGAATTTGGTCGCCTCCATCATGGCTTTGGCCGACTGCCAGGGTTCCCATTGTGTGAACACCTGCTGGAGACACGACCAAACTGGACGAACCTGGTATGACTGTGATCACAAGGTCTGTTTACTAAAGATGTGCCTCCTGCCAGCGACCTCTGGAAGTGTCTGCCTTCGCGAGGCCCATCTTCAAGACCGGATGTGGGCCATCCTGCGTCTCTTCAGGCTTTGACGAGCTTCTGCACTGAAGTGTAGCCCGGAAGCCTCCCACTAATTTTAGCTGCTGTTCCGGACCTGACACTGACACGACTTGTGGTTAGACTTAAGTCTGCAGGCAGAGTCCGCCTCTGTCTGTCTATCCGTCTGTGCTGTGTATCTCTCAGTCAACGTTTTAGAAGAGATTTGAGTACTTACTTGCCCACGAAGCAACTGACTCACCAGGAGGCTGATGGTGAACATTGCTCAACAAGGCAAAGCTTAATCCGAAAGTGGAACATCCGACGGTTTGGAATGTCTCTTCCCCCGAAAACATCCTGTGGTTGAGCTGAAAAGCTTCGAACTCAGCACATACTCATCAGAAACGTCAGCAGCATGACTGTGTTGTACTGGCAAGTTTTCAATGTTGTGTCCTGTTCGTTGCCCTCGTCCATGAAGATCTCCCAGGTAGAGGCTTCTGGCACGCAGTAGCCGCCCAAGCCTCCGAAGCCTCATCTGCAAGGCTCATCCATAAGGCTTCCCACCAGCACCCATGTGAGAACGTCGGAGAAGGTGGGGACCCCGCAGATCGGATACTCGCTGTCAGCCACAAAATTCACTTGCACATCCTTGGCACCCACCTGAACACGCCAAGGGCTACAATCTACTCCGGCAGCCACAACAGCCGACGATCGCAGGCAATCCGACAAGGTCATTTTCGTGCATGCTGAATGTCACTGTCTCGGTAGCAGGTTGCTGCACGGTTGGACCTTGAAACATGAAATGTCTGGCTGCAGAGCTCTTGAGAACTGCTGACGTTCTGAGCGATTCGTTCGAAGAGCTTGCAACGGCTGAGTCTCCAGCTTGCCATGAAGCACATCACAAGGCAATATGTCCCATGCGCCATTCTTGGGCGTGAGTTGCATGGTCAAGGCCGCTTGGATGACTCTCTTGTCTTCGGCACAGAGCTCATGCAACCTCACTTAACGCAGATTGCTGGCTTTCTAGCTTCAGTTAGGGAAGGTAAACTCTCATGAGGCATCCGAACACGTCACGTATGAAATGCGATTGCAAAATGATCCGGCGCACCTGTGATCTGTCACCACCTTGTCTCATGCAAACAGAGCTCCGAACCCCTTTGTCGAGTGTATCGTTCAGTTCTTGGGCCCCGGCCACAGTAAACCATCCATGAAGCTGCTGACTTGCCAAGGCGGTGCGGATGTCGCTCTCATACGCAAGAAACTCCTGGTGCCTTGCGAATTCGCGGCAACTGACTATCTCAGTGAGGCTGTCTCGCAGGCACTGGCCCGAATCAGATCACAATTGAACACAAGGTCCGAATGGTCATTGGGCCTTCCGGCGGCGGCATAGCAGCAAGTATCATCCTGGACACACTGGCAGTTCCCGCACTGCGCTGATGCCCTGTGGTCGCTTAGGCTTCAGAGACCTACGCGTGCCAAGTGTGCTGGAAGGACTGATTGCACTTGACCAATGACCTCGTGGAAGATTTGAAGTTGCCAACGATGCTGCTCGAAGCCTGCCAAGAGAAACTGACCTCAACGGCTCGATGGAGGGCTCAGCACTGCTCACAGGCACAATTCCACGACACGTATCGACACATGCTGCAATTGCAATCAGCCGAGAATCACTTGTAGTTGCAAGCCTGGCAATACTCCCGGCCAGCATCTCTGCGCCATCCATATCCTTTGTGCCTGTCAAACACCATCGAGTGTGGGGCTCAAGGCTTCTGCCATGACCGACCTCACATCTTGAAAGTATACAGCATAGCAAAGCCGCAACGACGAGTACGGCTGGTCGCCTCGCTCCATTCTTGAAGGGGAATGGTTTCAGCTTGCAGATCTGTTCATAGTCGCCTGTCATTCTATCACTCGTCATCCTTGCCCACGAACTGGATAGATCTGGCTCTGAAGCTTCGAAGGCAAGCGGCCTATGTCACCTGTCGCCTCGATACCAGCGGCCGTGCGATCAAAGCGTAGAGCCCATGGCAGGACACCTCTTGGCCAACTCAGCATGCAGAAACCAAGAATAAACACCATTCGCTTCCTCCAGGCTCCTCAAAGCCTGGCCTGCAACGGGGATTGACTTCACCACCCGCCGGTCCATAGCTGCGACGAGGCTCGTAGTCCACCCGCCACCCGACAAGCCAGCCAAAACCACATCCTCTCACAATCAACGCTGAAGGGCTGAGGTCCCCGAATTCTGTAGAGCATCGAAAGCCGAATCCTGAAAGCCCAAGCTTAAAGCGTAGTTGATGGTCAGGATCACAGGCTCGCAGAAGTATCCTCTGCTGACACGTCTCGGCATTGATGGCTGAAGCTTGGCTTTGCAGCTAACAGTCAACGACACCAGCTGCGTAGCCGAAGCACGGAGCGCAGAGTCACCAAGGCTCTCGAGGTGCCTTGCCGCACTCTAATGAGACAGCATGCGGTTCGACGATGCTCTCTGTAACTGCTGAAGTTCTGCACAGTCGCTGGAACCACCAGTGATCTGTCCAGTTGGTGCTGCGCCGTGAATCGAAATTTACACCCACCAGTGGCATGGACAGTATGAAAACCTCGCATATTGCTTTCGAGCAGAAACCACTTGCATGCGAGGGATAGGCTCCAGTCTTCCCATAAAAGCAAGGCCGAGTAGTTGAGGCATGCAACAGGACTAGACTCAGTTCCCTTATCTTTGCTGCCAAGTTGCGTTGTGCCCCAGCGCGTGGAAGAACCGCGTCACGTTGTCAAGATCCCACCAGGTGTATCCAGTGCCATTGGCTGCCCTCTCTTTGGTGTGCTTGGTACCCATGCATCCCATGCGACAGGGACCTTGAATCCAACCGGGTCGAACACCGTACTTGCGCTTGGGATGCTTGGCTCGGCCTCGGGAGCAGGCTTGCTCCTCGCTGTGCGCTGCATATTCACTGACTGCTGTCTTACCGGCCATGCGTCTTGGCATGTGGGTTGTGGATGCGGAAGGACAGACGCAGTCGTGATGCCCATGGTGCCACAGCACTGCGCTCTTCGACTTTCGGAGCGGGGCCGCGAAGACCTTACTTCGAACTACATACTGACTGCCAGACACCTGGATTAAGCCCGTCTGGCACTGACATGGACGGGCAGCCAGACAGCCAAACAAACAGGTGGCTCTGTACCACACGTACAGTGATTGCCGGCTCTCATACATACACACCTACAGATGTGAACGCTTTTATGCATGTGTATGTGTGTATATATATATACATACTTTTTTTTGTATTTATATATTTGTATACATGTACACACACACATATGCTGTGTGTATAGATGCAGTATGCGTTTGTCTATTCCGCGATACGCTGCTCTATCATATCGTTGGGTTACAGCATGTCATGTCATACCATGTTTTATTGTATCAGTACCATACTGGTTGCAACATGTCAAATTATAGCATAGCATATCTTTCTCTGTGTCATGTGATGTTCTATTTTACTCTAGTCAATTCTGTTTTACTATTACACTCTACTATATTATACGAGACGGAATTATCTTGGTTTATACTTACGTCATATCCTACTGCATGAAACTAAACTACATACCATACTGCACTACGCTGTACTATTTTACTACCAGCATTATCTTGTCGCTATGTTTATGATATAACACGTCTATGATTCTATGTATACCGTATGGTCATATTATGATAACCTGCAGTCGACGGCCCCATAAGTGTCAGGATGCTCTGAATCTTGGGCATATTTGACCTTTGCCGAGGTTTTGCATCTCCTGGTTTGGAAGCTTTGGGGATGTTGAATCTGACGATATGTTCGCCTCCTACTTAAAGTGTTCATGCTTTACAGGGCTTTATGCTTGCACCAAAGATTTGTTCAGCATTACATGCAGAGACTGCCGAGCTCTCTTCATTAAGAAAAGATTGCAAAAAATGACGGACATCGCCCATGGCTCAAACAAAGACAAGGTAACTCACTCCACTCATAACCTGAAAATTATACTTCTGATTGGAAGATATTGGAAGTGAAGGAGCTCTCTTATTTGCTCTCACGGTTGGGAAAAGGCTCTTTTGCCGTTTTGCCAATACTGAGAGAGAGGGGGTCTTCATTTCCATATACTATGCACATAGTATACATTATGCATCTAAATATGTATGTATGTATGCACATGTTCATGTATACATATATATATATATAGATCTGTTTATGGTCTTCCCGGGATGTAGACACTATGAGCTCTGTGATAACTAAGCTCAAATCTTCTCCCGGTGCTAAACAGCCACGCAAACGAACAAATACTCCGGATACTCTGGCACACAACTCCGAGAACAGGCAGATATCTGCGGCCCAATACTATATATGTATATGCATATATATATATATGTATATATGTGTATATACATTTGTGTATTTATTTATCTATGTTACTTATGTATTTATAGGTAGATAGATAGATATATAGACAGATAGATAGATATTCGGATAGGTAGTAGAGCAAGTAGTGTAGTGTGTGTGTATATATATATGTCTACTATAGATGTGTATATGATGTATGTGTTACATGTTTCATGTACACATATGTACACTCATCATACACCTAGATAAGAACAGCTGGAAAAGTGCAAGACGTATTTCAATACGTGCATTGCTTTCAAAAGTTCGTTCGAATTGCAGATTGCAGTGCGTGACCAACACGGTGAATAATTGTTGCATGGACGACACTCACCAGACAGAAGCCACATGCAGATTTCCCCGCGGCAGCTACGGTAGCAGTGCCGCGTGTCAAGCCAGCAAAACAGCCACGGAGCAGGAACAGAACCCACGAAGCAACTGTTGGATGTTTTGGTCATCAATATGTTGGAGTGCATCTGTGTTTTGCTTTTGGTTCCAATGTTTGACTCGTTGCTCGTTTTCGACGTAAGTGGTCTTGTCATGTTGCAACTTTGCACATTGAGCTTCGTTTGGTTGGCTGGCTCCTTGAGCTGATTTGCACCTTCCGCCCCATTTGGGAATGTTTGTTTCGGCAGAACAGTATATTTGGAAACGTCATAGAAATGCGGGCCGATCGGCGAGGTTACCATTATCAGTTTGTATTTACATATGTATGTATGTATATATATACACACACATATGTATCTGTAACTGTCTGTATGTTTGTATGTATGTATGTATGTATGTATGTATGTATGTATGTGTGTATGTACGTGTGCATATATACATATGCCACGTAAGTAGATGGATCCGCTTACCTGCGGGCGTGTGTGGGCGCACCCCCCAGCACGCAGTCGGGCTCAGAAAAAGCGATGCACCAGGCCAAGGTGCAGTACTTCTGAGCCCATGCCCGGGTAGATCCTCGGCATGAGTGTTGCAGAGGCAAGCGAGTCCCGAAGCAATGCTTTTTCTACTGTCGCAGTCAAGCGACCCAGTGAATTGCATAAAGACCTCGCTGCAATTTCTGGATGTTGTCCGGCTTCAACTTTGTTGGAAGTGACCTCAACCGAGAGGCTGGCAAACCGGCCCGAATCGCAATGTATCTTTACGTATCTGCAGGTGAACCGGTCAAGATTGCTGTCTTCTGAATCTGTATGAGTGCAGTTGACGTTCGGCCGTGGCTTTTTGGAGATGATCGAACAACTGTTTACGAATGGGCGCAGGTCGAACGACTACTTGCAATCTCGGTAGAACGAAGCAGTCTCCCCGACATTCGTTTCGCATGATCAAGTCAGAAGCGGTGGGCACAGCATGCTACCATCGTGTTTGACAAGCTTGCAACAAACGGCTCCGACATTCGGTCAAAACGATGCGCTATGCTCATTCTGTTTCAGGCAAGTCACGAGTTTCCAAAGACAGCAGCGATCCTGGGCAAATTAACTTTTGCCCTGTGCTTTCCATCAGTTTGCCGACTGGAAATAACAGCAAGTACAGCCAGAACTCAACTTCTTCCGCTTGTCCAGCCAGCCTCATTTTGCTGTTTCAATGATTGTCAATGTGATAGAACTTCATTCTGTCAGGAGTGTGCAGGCTTCTTTGGGACAAGTCTCTGTGGGCATCCTGGACGTCTGGGCCGGCTGGCGGATCCAAATGATCCAGCTCGTCAAGCAACGAAGGATCCACCAAGTGCGCAAGGCAATCGACTGCCTGCAGCAGAAACCACAGAACACTATTCCTTGCCTGACTGCCCGAAACTTTTGCAATAGCTTCTCCCAGGGAGTAAGGCATCCGTCCCATGCTGGTACGAGGGCAGGTGACAGGTGAAGAGCTTGAAACAGATCTTGGTGCACTGAGTCTCGAAAAGCTTCGAACTGTGCACAGGACTGTGCTCCAACTTCTGCGACATACACTACGGCATTGAATGCTTAAAAGCAGGATGTCATTACCGGGTACCTGTTCACGTGCGACACGACACCCTACAAGTGTTACCGTTGCTAACTAGACGAACGGCACAGACGGCAGCTTTCCTCATCGGCCAGTTTGCTCAAAGCTCTGTTGATCTCTGTTTTCGTTCACTCGGCTGCTCCGCAGGTCTACTACAAAGCTCACCTCCAGCATGCTTCGATCAAATCTTTCACTCGAAAGCCTAGCTTGGTCTCGGGCTTCAAAACTCCGTACTGAAACACGCGCTTTTGGTGTTCGTGCAGCTTGACAGAGGGCGCTTTCTGTCGTGTCAGGCGCTACCAGTTTGCGGCAGCATCACAAGCGACGCCTTCACGTCACTGTTCAGCACTCTGATTCCTCGGGTGCGACTACCTCAGCCATGCCATGCAGAGTCTGGTTTCGTGCCATCTACTCCATATCTGAGGCATGCGCAGTAGATGCCTTGTTCATAGTTGGAGCCGGTGACATCCTTGAAGACAATGTCGGTGATGGGGCTGTCTGGTAATCCCGAGATGTCGGCAACTTGCTTTGCTCCGTTGGAGGAGATCGTCTCGAAGGTAAAGTTGATGAAAGCTGGAGGTTGCTCCGAAGCTTCACCCTGGCAAAACGCAAGGATACGGGCAGGCAAGGCAATGCAAGGGCTGCAGCTCGGGCCGGGCCTCGAGTCCATTCCTGGAGCTGTACTGCATCGAGATCCTGGAACATGCAAGTACGACACTGAGATACGAGAAATCTGTCCAGCACCGCGTCAGTGCCGAGGAGCTTGATGAAGACTTTGGTTTGTCTTTTGAGCCCTGACCTCACGATGCGGTTGTCATAGAAACGAGTGAATTCAGTGCAGATTCGAGAAACGTCCACAACTGTTGGACTATTCAGGTACTTCCTGCAGGCAAGACAGGATGCCTGGCAACGCTGTAGATGTTGTGGAAGTACAGGTCTCTCACCACTCCCCCGCGCCACCTCCAAGCAAGACCATAGGACCATAGGAGCTAGCAGGGGATATGTTGGCATACAGGATCCTTTGCAAACTTCGCCGAATGTGCCTTGAGCTCTTGATAAAAATTCCATGCCATCGATTCTCGGGCCGATTGTCTCCAAACTTGACGTTTTCCACACGCACATCATAAACACCACCTTTGAACAGTTTCTCAAGGTTCAGTGCTTACGGAGGTACCAGCACAAGAAAGCTCGGGGCCCTGCCGCTCATTTCACTGCCCACTGAGAGGCACTTTGACCGAATGGCGAGGTCATGCAAATGGATGTGAGCACCTAGGTCTTGCAGATGCTTCGGGCAAAATGTATCAAAACAAAAACCTGCGGATCCACTCTTGATGTAATCATGGGCTTGTTCTTTTGTATCTGCCAGCATATTGGACGTTTTGAACCATCAAGCCAAGCAGAAGCGGCTGCTTGCTCTTCTGAAGCCGCACTGGCGACCACCCGCATCAGCTGCAACGGAAGCACCAGGAGGCCAGCATCAACAGCCCCTGATGCTTCTCCAGACCCGACGAACTGGCCTGTTTCGACCACCTCTGGCTATTGCTACTGGTATGCCCACCCGACCGCTAGCCTTCCCAGCCTCACATGGTTCGGATGTGTGGAAACAAGCTCTCACGCGAGATCTTTAGGACAACTTCAGCCATGTTCAACCGTCTCTTGCATGTGGAAGCTTGTAAGCTGAGGCATGCGCTGGGCATGGCAAAGGTTAGGCCCGCCTGATTGAGCCCACTCTTTATTGCGATAGCGTCATCCCCTGTTGAGATCTCCTGCTTGCAGGTGCAGTCGATCGCCACCAAATGCTCGCGAAGACAGGAAGCACAAACTCGGGTCCCCACGCTATGCCGCACAATGGCATGAACAACCGAATCCTGAGAGGGCTGGCTGCTCCGGATGCTGTTTGTTTCTAAGGTTCTCGACAGGCTGCCGCGACTGGCTGCTTCTCTCAGGCTACTGTGGATGGCTGTCGTGCATCTTCGTGGCCCATATACACCTCTCGCGATGCCGCCACGTGCCACACTTGAGGCAGGAGTCCAGATTGATTCCATCCGTGTTCGGCGAATCATACGGGGCGGTGATGTTGACGCGCTCAACCTACCAGTACAGCAGTTCGCAAGCAGTGCACTGTCAAATTGGAGAGTTCCACCATGTCAATATGAGCATCAGCAGCATAAGAGTGCTGCTCAGCCACCAGAATGCTCTTTGAGGCATAGAAGTGCGTGTTCCAGAAAGCAGGATTTTGCAGGCGGATCCGTCGAAGAGTGATGTTTGCACAGAACATGCATTGAATTAGCGATGGCCGTCCGTGATGCAGCAGCACGTGCGTCTTGCTGAAGCGTGACCACCACCAGCTGCCGTTACCATCAATGATACCTGCATGGAACAAACAGAGCAACCGCAAGAAATCGAGTATGCAAAAGACTCGCCACAGGAGATCGGATACACCCCGCTATATCCGCTATAACCTACTATTGCTTGTCCACTAGTTTCAATTCAGTGGCCAGGCCCTTCGATGGTCACGTCTGAGAGGTTGTAGCCAAACAGGAGAGCTGCATGCCTCACGGCGCAGCTCGAGCAGTAACAAGGGCCTATGCAGCCTTTCTCCCTTGGTGAACGGCCTTTTGGAAGGGTCCAGCGACCAGTCACGGTTGAGGCCGTAGCTGGGGAGAGCCGGAAGCAACGGGTACGAGTCTGGCGATGAGACCTGTGAAGACAGAACCACGAAAGTGCCGTGTGCAGCAGCCGTGTGCAGCGCAGTTTGCGCTCTCTTTAGGCAAGCGACCCCTAGGAGCTTGCTACCTTTGAGCAGGTGCAACGTCATCTTGCTGGTGAGGTTGACGGAGCCAAGGACAAAAATCCCCTTTGGTATCCTCAGCCGGACGAGAATCTGGCCCCGCCCAGGCACCGCGAGCAAACCTCTGATTAAGGACGAGCAATTACCTGATCTTTGCAACTGGGGCTCTGCAGTATGAATCGCTCCGTCCCCCATGACCGATTCGCACCTCGTGTAGCGTTGGAAGCGAAACTTGAAAGAGATGACTCGACCACATCACGTATCGCAAAAAGCTCGTACACTCTGCATCTGACGAGTGCTCCGGTCATATTTGCCGTCCCCACTGTTCTTACATTTTCTTTAGTTGGCTTTCACTCTGTGTGCATATGTCTGCATCGTCTTTCCGGACAAAGCTGATGAAGTGTAAGCGACAACAAGAGCATGACCGATTTAGGCAACCATGGCGTGCTGTATTCCAGCCGCAGAACTGCAGATGTCCATAGCTGCGCGGAAAGCTTCTGTGCTGTCGGTCTTGCCATCTCCGACGGCTCCAAACCAACATGGGTTGCAGATCCGGACTTGATTGTTGTCGCTCTTCTTGCCGCTGTTGAAGTTGGCAAGGACCTGCCCGGCCCCCCGCTCAGGCGGCTGTATCTACGTCCGAATCAGGGCGACATCGCCTCTGCATCGGCCTTATTGGCCTGAGGTCGGAGCTCTTCGCGAAGCTCCTGGCGTAGCTCCTCGAAGTCCTCGGTGCCGAATCAGCACGACCGGTTCGAGCGAAACTTCTGCTTGGACCGTTGCGCTTTGGTTCGCAGAGCTTGTTGGCAACGGGGCTTGTCCCAGCATCCAGCTCCTTCCAAGAGAGCCTGGTCCCGAGATCAACGGGCGTGACAAGGAAGTGCTTGCGCGTGCGTGCATAATTAAGGCTCCGTTTCCCCTCTGCCGCGAAGCAACTTGTGTCTTGGAGACTGACATAGCCGGTAGAAGTGGCCAAGAGGCCAGCCAGCACCATGATGCAGAACGTGGGCCTCGGAAACCGCAAACCCAAGAACCCAAGAACGCCACAGCCCAGGGATGCCCAGGGATGCCCAGGCCGATGCCCAGGCCGATGCCACAGTCTTGCAAGCACCTTTGGCTTCCTGCCATGCGAAGAAATGCACGGCCGTCAGCTTATGTCAGCTTGAGGGCCACACGGACTGGGTGTTGCGGCCATGGCGGCCAAAGCTCTGTCTCGCTGGAGACAGAGCTGCTCGACATTATGTTAAGGTCAGAGTGACATCGAAGCCCCGGAACAAAACAAGCTGCGAAACCGAACACGGTGAACTCCTCACAAGTCATTGTGCTTGACGCGACCGCTTCGGTCTCCGAGCTACTTGTGGTCTCGAACGGCTGCAGAGGATGTTACGTCGAAAAGGTGACCAGAAACATTCGCTCCTGCAGGTGATAGACAAGAAATTTGCACTCACGCACACACACAGACAGTTACATGCACGGAATTCAGACAGAATTGATTCCCTTGGACCGACATCACAAGCAGATGTAACGGCTGGCATGAAAGTGGAGAGGGCTGCGCACCCGCATTGAGAACAAGTCGTGCAGATGAAGTTTGTGAGTGTCGCAGAGCTGCAGTAGCTTGTCCTCAGGGATGGGAAGCGACTGCGAAAGTCCCACGGAATGGCACATGCTTGGCCCTTGCAGTCCTCAAGATGGAAAAGCAGAATGACTCCTCGGCATTAGGGCGAGGCGGAGGGAAACCGTAAGAACAAAGCACGGCTTGTGTAAAAGACCAGGCATTTTGAAATAGTCAATCAGCACAAGCACATGACGCATCTGGTCGAAGCATGATACGCTCCATATACACTCCATGCTTGACATATGTAGGCAGGCTGCGATTCAAGAGCAAGTCTTGGCTGGTCTCCACCTGAAGGTAAGTCCACGACTTGATGTAATACTCGCTTGCACCCGCTACAGCTACATCGGTCCGCGCTGCATACAGGGATGCAGCCTTCTTTAGAAGATCTCGTGCACGCTGAGCTTTTCCCACCTAACAGAATCAGCAGATGCGAAACTGGTAGGCAGAAGCGGAAGCTCGCAGTAGCAGGTCACAAAGTCTCAGTAGCGGGCTCTATTGTTTGGACAACCAGGAGAGAGGACTGAGCATCTCCTCACCTTGACTTCGGAAAGCACAACAGATGCAACACACACACACACACACATCTTTTCGATCCGGCCTTTGCCGCAGGAAAGGAACCAGACTCTACTGTCACTGCATATTGGCACGGGCTGGGAAAAGGACAACCCTGCAATGCCCTGCATCTGCTCCCATGATGACATTTGAGTCTCTGAGGCCGCGGCTCTCTCGTCCCACTCGATTCGATCCCGAGGCAGTCCGAAAGAGCAGCATTGGAACTCCTGTGACGAAGATGAGATTCGAGGCTTCAGGTACTCGCGTACATTGCTTGCATGTGCGACCGCATGGGCCTGGAAAACTTCATCCCAGTTGCCGAAGCTCTCCTTGGCCTGGAGCAGTCGTGCAGGGCAAGCTTGGACTCCTGAACCGTGCCATGATCATGGGCCGGGGCCTTTGACAGTATGATTCGCAGGGCTGGATTGTAGAAGGCCGGAGACTTCACGGTGCATCCCTGAACGCCCAATCACCGGCATGTTGACGCCTTTCACCCTTCGTTCTTCAACAACTTTCCCCGCACCTCTGGCAGACTTTTTCTGCGAACCTAAGTAGTCTCGTAAACGCCAAGATCAGCAGCCGACAGGACTTGCAAGCAGGGCCTACCACAAAATGACAAAGAACAGCCACTTATGCGCAAGTTGCAACACGGCAGACATAAAGTGCAGGCACTGAGACTGCGGGGCTTCGAAGCTCACAATGGAGCAGGTGATGCACCCCTTCAAATGTACCACACAAGTCGTTTTGAAAAGATTGGTCCGACCGTCAATACAGCAGAGAATCGTGGTCAAATGACATGTAAAGCGCATTTCGCAGAGCGACTTACTGCTCAAAGGGAGTAAGCAAATGCCGAGTTCTGCGTCCAACTTGCCGCGCACAAGCCAAAAAAGACCGCCGCAAACCCCATTCCACAATCACCAGGACGGACAACAAACAAAAAGCATTTCAAGCCCTTTAACAGATTCCAACTGCATCAGCACTTCATGACTTGCACACCTGCACAGGAAGCCCTTCAAGGGCCGTGAGCGCCATGGGCAGGACTCGCAAAAGCGGTGCCACTCGAGATCCATTTCTGCAGCAGACAGCTCGCCTCTGCAAGCCATGAAGAAATGAGTCGACAAAAATAGTTCAGTGGATGTGATTCTGTTGGATCCGTCGCATCATAAAGAAACGAAGGATACTGGGAAGAAGTTGAGAGATGAGCAGGGTCGGACCTTGCCTGATGGCTCTAGTCGCCAGCTTCGGCTGACAAGTTCGACCGACATGCCCGGTCCAGCAGCTCTGTGTGCGATCGAGAAGACGCCGAAATCCCTGTGCAGCTTGAACTCTGATTCCGACTTCGCATCAACAAATAGCAGCCTAGCTTGGCCTTGACTCCAACATCAATTGAGCTCCTTCCAACCATCCGCTTCACGGACAGATATTGCCACAGGTTTCCCTGCACATCACCCTCCATGAACGCGCCGCTGTGCTGTGCAGTCCAGCTGCCTGTGTTGACTTTGCTTCAGATCTTCCGTTTGGTGAGGATGTACGACCGAGAAACACGATTGGTTGTAGTGAAATCCGTAGTCCTTCAGGAAAGTCGGACAAGCGGTTGGCTGACGCCGTGTTGGCTGCAACTGGGGCAACTGGTACACCGTATATTGTTACGGTGATCCTCTACAAGCTGGCTTTTTTCGGCCGGTTCTTCTCAGGGCTGCAAGCTCGACCTGACACAAAATTGCACGGCGTTTTGCCCCACTTGTGCCACTAAGGTCGCTTGACATCGCCGTTAACGCCACTTGTGCCGCTCGTGCCTGTTGCACTTCGTGAGGCTTTCAGTAGTACTAGTACAAGTAGCATTAGTCGTGATATACTCGTACTAGTAGCAAATCCCTGAACGCCAAACCCTAAAACCCTAAACCCTCAAATCCTAAACCCCTAAACCCTAAACCATCCTTAACCCTAAAAGCCTAAACTCTGAAATCCTGAATCCAGAGACCATAAACCCTAGCACAAGTGGTGCCATGTGGTGCCCACCCTCCTGAAAAGTCCCGCTTGTCAACTGGGGCACAAGCCTGGCCTGGCCTGATCCACTTTTCAAGAGGGGTCAAGTGACTCAAGTTGCGCGTTTGAATTAGGAGAAGACCTTCGTGTACTTCTCACTCGCTTGCGCCTACCGCTACACAAACGAAAAACGAGACGACGAAGATCGACCAACATACCGTCCTTCGAGCAACGTGATTCCGCTGAATGAACTGTTTAACACAAATGTCTTCACACCCGACACGATGCGATGCTGCCAAGAGACAGAGGAGATTTGCCAATTCGACTTCTCTGGCACAACTTTGCCAGAGAAGCGGCCGGCGCAAATACTGAAACTGGCAGCAGAAACTAAAGCAGCATGATTGTCTGCTCACTCACTCATCGAAAGCAAAAATCAAGAAACGTCTGTCTACATTGCATGTACATTACATGACGTGCATTGGCAAAGAATCCGCGGAGCTGCCTGTCCCCACGAAGATACACGCTCAGCCTGAGCTGGCAAGCAGACCTGCTTATCCTTTCTGAACGGGTCTCCTGTCTTCCAAGATGAAGTGCAAGTGTCGAGGACACCACATCTCCGCCGATATGTCTGCAGCGAAGACCTCCTCTAGGGGCACACGAGCCTTCAGACTCTCTGCATCTGCCGAAATTTTCGATGCTGAATATTCATCCCGTTCATTCTGTCTGAGCTGATCACAGTGGCGCTCTCGAGAGCCTCTTCATCCAGGTGGATGACCTGGGTTTCGCGCCCATCAGCACATCAGCCCTGGCAGGTCGGCAGAAGTTCTGTGAGGCCATTCCGAGCCCCAAGCCAATTGCACCAAGGATTCTGACTCGCTCACAGTAATGCCTGTGCAGATTTGCCTCGTTTATGCCGGTTCTGGAAACAGGCTTCTCACATGGCCACTGGCACTTGCACCAAGCTTGCAAGCAAAAACACGACAAGATGCTCTGGAGTCATTGCCGTGCTGATTTCGTGGTTCCAGTCCTGTGCACGACTGCTGTATAGGAGAGCGAGTGAGGAATCTGACTGGGTGATGCGAAAATCCGATCGTCCTCCGGCTCTCCTGGCTCGATGTTCTTGAAGGATTCGACATCGATCTTGAGACCCTGAACGAAGGAGCTACGGAACTCTCCAGGCCCGGAAACCTTCTCTCGTGAAACGAAAACCGCCCGACACCGCTGCCTTGAGGACCCCCTTCGGCGCCTTGTGCACACATGTGGCTTGACTTGCTACATCCCTTTCTGCACAGGACGGAAAGCTGAAACGACTTCTGCCTGACGTTCGGTCCATCCGAAAATGCTTTTCTTGTGCGGATTCAAGGCACCTGAAGGTGACGTACATGGATATTCAATTAGAAAGCTGAAGATCTCTGCCTGGATACCAAGGGCTCGCCCAGGAACGATGGCGTGCCTTTGCGAGGTAGATGATCAGAGCCCTGGCCGGGTGCCGGCTCTACGAAGATGCTGCCCGCGCTTTCCGAGGATTCAGTTTGTAATCGAGATCCCATTCCCGTGTGACCGATTCCGCACTATTCTTGCTAACACAATCCAGGCAAGGCTCGAGCCGAAGGCCGCAACTCAGTCCCCGACTTGTCCTGCGGATTTGACTCCGCTTTGTCCACCTTTTGGCTACATCAGCCGGTGGGCAGTTTCAAAAACCGAGTCGAATTCCATGCTTCGGCATCTTTCTCTTTGACCAAGGTATTTGCCAGCGCACCTTCCACCAGGAAAGGTCTCGAAGAATGTCGTCGTAGACTTCCTGTAGCTGTCATTCTATCTGCCTTGACCGACCGAGGATACGCTGAAAACTTGCCAGCCAGTCCTTGCAGAGGTCGGAAAGTTTGCCTCGGAGGGCCGATGCCCAGCTAGTATGTGTGGCAATGAGACTTCGCAAATTCGAAGGTGGCCTTTGCCGTCTTTGCGCGACACGAGCAGCTGCCAGCAGGACATCTCTACCTGTTCCGCTCGCTCGAGCGTCCGCAGTGCGATCGAAGCAGTCCATGCCTTGATGTCATCTTCATCCAGGTCCATATGGCTGTCTCTGAGTGGATACGTCAGAACCATCCTCACAGTTGAGGCATCTTCAGAGGCTGTTGAGACTGGTAGGTCAGCAAAATCAGAAGGGCGTGACAACAGCTCGTGTGGATTCGAAGGACAGTCCTTCCCATGGACTGCGTGTAGTGCACCTTGCAGGAGCACAGGAGCGCCAAGCTCCGCCACTGTGACCGCTTTGCGACTTGACTTGCTTCCCTCCTTTTGCCACGAAGCGCAGCGCCGTCTCAGTCTGCTCTTACTTGACTCCTAAGGAGGGCCTCTCTCAGGGAGCTCAGGAGTCCCTCTCATTGACTGCACGAGCGCCAGAAGTTGTCCGTTCGCATCGCTGTCCCCACTCCCGAGCTGCTGGCCCAGCTTCACAACCTTTTCCAGAGCTTCCACACGTGTTTCAAGCTCGCTGGGCTGGCGCAGCGCAGCCAGTTCACGTTCGAGCTGGACGATGAAGGCCTGGCGTCGCATGCAGAGTTGCTGGAGTTCTGCAAGTGACCGCATAGACAGTGGCGGAATGCCACTCTGGACCGTGCTTCCGCCCAAAGATGTCATGGTGTCCATCCGCTGCGCCATTTTAGGCGCTTCGCTTGTTTGTGTTTAAGTGTCCCTGGCAGTTCTGACCGACCCACTCCGCTGACACTGACATCTTGAGACTGGACCTAGACTTGTGGGGTCCCCTCGTCACGTAGACGTCTTAGCTTTGCGCGGTCCCGCAAAGAATGCATGCCCGGTAATCGATCAAAGCACACACTAATCATTGAGTTGCACAACCTGTATTGCTGGAAGTCGGGCTTTACAGTTCACTACAGGTTCTGCGCTCACCTGGATCGATCCCGAGGCTGCGGGTGGGGGCTTTGGGTGGCCAGACGCCAGATCAAGGGTGGGTATGAAACGCACTTTGTGTGCAGCACTGGCAGCACCCTGTTCATGAATGCTTCCAGGGCGCTCCATCTACTTGGCCAGATTCCCGCCTTTGATGCAGAGACTTTCACAAGCATACAGTGGGCTGACCGTGCATGAAGCTCGGCTTGCAGCTGAGCCGGAAGCTGCCACCTTGCACTGTAAAGCAATGCGCAGTTTTCAGAAGTGGTCTTGCTGTTGTAGTTTGGCTTAAGTCTTAAGCGCCCCGCCTGTACACAATCGGGAAGGATCCTGGGCTGACCCATTTTGGCTTCAGCTCAAACTGGAATGCATTTGGCTCGCCTGGCATTTCCTCATGAATTCAGCCTCGGTGCTAAGACGAACGACCGTGCCATCCGATGCCTCCTTTGCAAAGGACAGCTTTGATGTCATTACGTTGCACCGCGATGTTAAGAGCTCATGCCACGACTTGTCAGATGCACGCACCGCTTTGGAGAGAATGCGGCCTGCGTGGCGACCTTCACAACGAGGCGACAAAGCCATGCAGGTGGTGGGCATGGTCGGGACTCTGCACAGAACTGGGGCCCCAGCCTGCAACGCCGAAGGATCAGACATTGAAGTTGGCAGTGCGAAAAAAGTAACGAGTGGAATGTATTGAGAGAGAATTATTGCGAAGGCTCGTTTGGCATGTGAAAAAGCGTCCGAGGCTTCATTCCGGAACTTCAACTTCAAAGCTTCCTTGCCAAGCTTGCAGAACAGAATGACACTGAATCGGCCCTCCCTCCGATATTGCCTGCAGGCCAGGAGAAACTATGCTGCCATGCTCTCCTGCATAGGCTGCGATAATCACGGGTTTGAGAATGCAAGCGCTGGCATGCACCCGCACAACGTGAGGCATATCGTGACGTCACAGCACATGCTGATATTACACTTTAGAATGTGTATGATGCAAGAAATCGCGCAAGGCACATCTCGGACGTGCCCGAATTCTGAAGGCAAGCATATTCTGCACCTTCCTATACTAGGATCTATGTATTGTCTATTTGCACTACGCTTGAAGCTTTGCAGCCGGAGAAGTTGTAACGAACAACGTGCTGATGCGTTTGGTCTCGACTGAAGTCGAGGCTAAAGTGTCCTGTGCTGCAGCTGCCAGCGCCAAAAGATGCAAGTACACTTCACGAAGTGCCAAGCATTGTGACGTCAACTTTGGACGAGAACTGCTTTTGTCACGATGAACGGCTGCTTCAAGACTTGGTGCTTTTGTCCAGAGTCTTGAACAGAGGAAAAACTGGTTGCGGTTAAGCTCGACGCTTTGTTCAGCTTCTCGCACCAGTCCCAGCAGTTGGCTGGCAGCCAGATGCAGGAATTCCTGCCCACACCTGCAAGGCTATTCGGCTTGGCTTCATGTTGTGTGCCTACGAAACGGTGTCCGCATCATCCCCTCAGTCCGACAATAACAGTATCTGGCAGTATCTGGCAGTATCTGGCAGTATCTGGCACCACATCCGAGTGCCGCCTGCCTCTCTGGCCGGCACAGTCTCTCCTTTCAGCACCTAGGCAGTCGAGGAGCTGCACTCTGACTCTGCTCTCCATTGCTATCATTCTGAGAGTGGCACCTGTGTATGTTCCATTAGTACAGCCTCCCAGGGCTCTACACTTTACACTGTTTCAGGACGTCACTTCTGTCTGAAACTCATGTTCTGCCCCTCGTCGCGAAATGTGCATCGTGCAGCACTTCACACAGGTGCCCATACATGTGCCGTGATGCGTGCTCCACCTCGTCCTCTACGACGGAACCGGGCATTGCAAACGAACCTGCGAAGCAGTGAAGATGCCAAGCTGAGCCCAGGGATGCCAAGATGTCACCCTCAACTGGAAGCGGCGAGACGATCAAGTCGCCATTGAAGGAATGCGGCATCACAACCACAGGCGCACGTGGATGCACGTCCGAAGCAAGCAGCGAGGCCGAGTTGATGTATCTGATATTCAGCTTGCCTTGTGCACTGAAAAAGAAATGGTGCAACTACCAACTTGCCTGGCAGAAGAGCTGCTCCGTCTCCGATCCTGACTGGTCAAAGAAAGGACTTGCTCTGGTACATGTCTGCTTCGAAACACTGGAATTCTCGGCCTTGTCGGGGCGAGTTTGATAACCATGTTCTCTACAGTATGGCCAGTTGTGTCGCACCTGGGCGGAACATTGGGCTGGTGCAGGAAAACACAGAAGTTACTGTGCTGCATTCGATCACCGAGCAAGAACAAAATGAGTCGGCTTTCGGCTTTCCAGGCATCGAATTACGGCATCGTTCTAACTTCGATAACCATGCATGAAAGGAACACGCTCGCCTGCGCTCGACCTTGTGCTTAAGATTTGGCGCTGCAAGATACCCTTCCGCTATAAGCTTTACTCAAAATTCGAGACTTAGTTGTCTTTCTAACTATGATGTCGGACATGTCCATGCCAAGGCCAAAGCCCAGATCCGATCGAGACGTGGTCACCTTCAATTGAATGCTGGTTGGAGTCTCTGCACCGAGATGCCTCCTCGGGATTATCAACCATGCCTATAGTCAGCAAGTCGTATTCGACCATGAGCCCCGCCAAATAGCATTCCTGCGGGCACTGGACTATGTGCAAAGAACACACGCTACGTGAACACACAGGCCCGGCAGCCGACCATCGTCACACGGCAGAGCGCGTCCATCGCGCAACAGATTCAAAGTTCGTGGCATTCCCGACGAGCAGAGGAAAGCCGATGCTTCCAAGCTTCAGTGCAGCATAGTGCAGCAAGCTGTTGAGGAAGCGAGAGCCGTCTATAATGTGTCAATTCCAAAGCTTGACGTACACAGAAACAGCACTGCCGTCTCGCAACCATACTCTCGTCAGTCAATCATTGTATCTCGCGCGTCCTTGCCAACCTTGGCACCACAGGCTCGTGCCAGCCACACCTGCCCAGAAGGCTGGTCCCAACTGGGACGTGCTTGGATGAGATGATTTGCAGACGGTCCGCCCGTTGCCTCAAATATGGTCCCATGAAGGCAATCCTGAAGCGCGGAAATTCCTGTCAGAGACAAGGTGTGTCTTTCCTCTGGCAACAGAAAACCCGTGCCTGATCCACAAATCATCATAATCATCCACCGCATCTTGGAGTCCCATGGTTACATGTTAGTGCACTGTCGGATCTTCGGGTGCACAACATGCGCCGATGCAGCTTAGCTGCATGATAGCTGCCAAAGAACTTGTACTCCCCCGCCTTAGAATCAGAGTTCTTGGAACTCTCGTGTGGGCATGCGCCCCTCCAAGCTGCGTGGCAGCTGCACAGGCTGGGTTGCAGCAGCCGCTTGCACAGCCGGGCCGCAACGTACTTGCCAATGATGATCCATTTCAAGGCGATGTTGGCAAGCAACCTTGCCACACAGACTGTCTGAAGCTGCAATTAAGACCTGCTGCCCGAGAAGATGTAAACCACCTGGACCAAACCATGCTGCACTCCTCGAAGAGACCATCATACAAGAACTATTGTCGAATCGTGGAGCAGAATGAACTCGATGAAGTTATACACCTGAGCAGACAGCCGAACTACGGGTCAGGCTGCAGCGGAAAACTACATCTGAGGCTGCCGTTCGGTCCTTGCCTGCTGCGCAAGACCCAAGACTACATGTGAGGCGGCCGTTCGTGTTCATGCTGCGCAGAACTATATACAGTATACGCGTGAGGCTGGCTTTCGTGCTGCACGATTGCTCAAACTACATGTGAGAAGGCTATTTGGGCAGCACAAGACTACAGTACATGTGAGGCGGCTTATTGTGCTGCGCAAGACTTGCACAAGACCACTTGTGAGGCTGCGCTGGCGCTGTAGCAGCACAGCAGCATAGCGACAAACTCACCGTCAACACCTGTCGGGCACATGCATCTCCCGTAAGGGCATGGCGAATGGCGTGACGATGAGCAGAGTCAGAACTGAGCCCTTGGATGGCCAAGCACATCTGCCCATGAATTCGGAGAGAAATTCATGCGCTTCTGGATGAGACACATCCCGTGACATCACTAGTAGGGCTCGCATGGCTAGGCTCCAACAGGCACCAAATCTCTGCAAGCCAGTAGCACTGTCAACATCCCAGATTGAGGTCACTCCGAAGTACGTCGCAACCCACGCTGCTTCCGGCAGTGGATTCGCTATCCTGGGCACAATAGGTCCGCTAGATATTGCAACTACTGAAATTCGACCACCAAATGGGTTCATCAAAATGTCTCGGCCAAGTGTCAAGATGACAAGAAGTATCACGAGGTTGAATCTGTGCGAACGCACACAAACCCACAGACGCAACTCAGATCAGTGTGAATACCATGAGTCGCCTAAGTAAACAACAGCGGGGTCAGTGTCGTGCCTCCACCAAGTGACTGGACTGTCCAGGTCTTGCATTGTTTTGTCTTCCAGGGCCTTGGCACTGGCTGAAGGGAAGCATGATATCCTCTTTAACCGAAGTTTGCGAGTCTACATGAAACACCCCAGTCGCTGCACCATCCAAACCTTCCACTCGGTATGGTTATCTTTGTTCTGCCACGTGTCCCGCATTGCAGGAGACGAAAACGAGTCCCGCAGGTGCATTGATCGACCTTGAGACGCAGAAGTGCCCAGCGAACCAGGTCTGAGTGAACCTGCCTCGCTGACTGCCGGAATGGATTGCAAGCGGGGGATAGTAGCCTAAGCTCATTGCCGCTCTGCTCCATTCTGCAAGAACGGCAGTTGCAAAGCACGGCTACGGGGCTGCGCAGGCTTTCTCGTGCGTGACAGAAGGCTACCAGCCGAGGCCAGTGTGCAAGTGCCGAGTACTGCCTGAGCTGAGGCACGAGGAAGCCACCAAACACTGATACTCACTCTAGATCGCTTAAAATCAAGTGTCCAACTAAACAAGTTCCAGAGCTTGACTTGGGAGTCTAAGTCGAACGAGTCTTCCCTGCAACTTCAAGAAGTTTTCGCAGATGGCAGGCAAGATGCACGCTCTGCCACTTTTACTCCCGGTAAAAGCGAGCAATGGTCCAGAACGTTGGCGGCTTGGCAGATGTGGATGTCCGCATATCGTCGCAGCAGTCCTCAGAGACTGCCGCACGACGCTGACATCCACAGACATGCAGGCGAATGTGGCAAAAATCATGTGTCCTCGGCTCTTCTGCAGTTTCTTGTTGTACTCCTCGGGCACCCAGGGCGCCTGTGTGTCCGTATACAGCATGACTTCACTGCCAAACACGACGTAGTCGTCGATTGTGACACAGTCATTCTCCACGAAACTAAGCCTGGCGAAGGAACGGCAAAGGACAAGAACTGCACACCAGTCACATCAGGCCGCACTTACGCGGTCCCGCTTGTACAGCGCCATTGGAATCGATAGAAGCTGAGGGGCTGATCGATCTGAACACGCTTCCCAACTTTGGTGCCCAATGCACGATAGATGTAAGAGAGCATCTCAGTATTCGTGAACATTTCGCAGGCTTCCTGCCGCCGGGAGCACTGCAGGCAAAGCACTACACGCATGTTATCGAAACCGATGAAACCGTCGTGGCAAACCTGAGATTTCCTCCCTAGCGGCTCTAGCGTTGCATGACCCGGCATTCTACAATATACAATGTACTCGCGCCCTCTTGGTGTGCGGTGCTGAAGCCGACATCATGTTCGTGTGTTCAAACATGCTCACGCTGCGATCGTCCTCAAAGTCATGCGACTCAACAGCGCGAGCGTGTACCCAGTGCTTCCATTCAGTCCAATGGTTGATCTCCTGCTGCTGCTTGCGAAAATCGCCTGCGTCGATGTTCAGGCACATGTCATGGGTTTAGCCCTCTGAAAGACGACTTCAAACAAAAGCTGGCCTATCAGCAAGCGCTTCTGCAAGATGACCACGGCCAGGCGAAAGAACCTGCAAGTGCCGAAGCGATGTCTCCACCAAAACAAGCAACATTGTTCTTGGTTTCAAGTGCAGAGAGGGGGCCACATCGGATGAGCATAGATCCAGGATAAGAGAACCTGCAGACATGTTGCAATGATTGCCACTGAGCAAGATTTCTGCATGTCTGTGTGTATGGTTTACATACACACAGAAGATTATACATGGAAGGTTGCCATTGCAGAACCGGAACGCTCCAAATTGCAAAAGCTGTGTACTTGTTCTCGGCATACAAACCATCATACGTCCACACCAGCACGAAGTACGTGAGATAGTACCTCTCGGAGTGAGTGCTTGCCGAGAACTCGCCAAAAGTACATTTGCAGACTCACCGATCACTCGCAGTGGAAAGCAGAAGACAGTGGAAGTTTGGACTTCCGCGGGGACGGCCGAGGTCTCTAGGTGCGTGGGAGGGCCCGGGCCCGGGCCCAGCGCGCACGCGGCCGCGGGCGGGACCCTTGTGGCCTCGAGTGGGGACGTCTCTTTCGGAATCTCCAAAGGCGTGTTTTCTGCTCTCTTATCGTCCAAGATATGCTCCGCGAAAGGGGGCGCAGGCTCCCCGGGAAAGCATGGCAGAAATGCAATCCTCTCCATCGTCTGCGCCGAAAGTGGCGACACTCTGCTTGCCTTTTCTGGAAGTGTATACAGACTCCATCACTGCCAGGCATCTCTGCGCGTCGGAGTTTCCTTTGCGACCATACTCCCACGCTCTTGTGGATCGAGGCTCCACCCCCAACGGTGCAGTGCAGTGCAGGGTGACGCCCCTGCCGTGGGCGGTTGACTTGGGTAGGACAGATCCTGACGAATTTGGCATGCATTTGGAATGTTGGTCATCTCCTTTGTGTTCGTTAGTCTTCTCCCGTTTGCATGTCAATGGCTCGAACGCTCTATTGGCAGTCAGTACGGCTTCAAGCTTTGGAATCAACTTCGCTATGTCTGACCCATCACTAATCTCGCGAATACGGTAGACTTTGACCTGCCATCCTGTGCTCATGCACGACGGGGAGGCCTTTTGTGGCATCAAGTCGCTTAGCAGATTTGCACGACGCGGTGGGCCGCCCGCCCATCTGCACGCTACAGCCTTGGCCTTGCCCCTGATGCAAGCCTCTGACTCGGGCACCATTGTCTCGGAAGGTGTGGTCTTCACCTCTGCTGACTGCAGGAATTAACGCCGGGGACTCCGGATCTTGTTCGGTCCCTTTCTTCTTGCACACCGCTGGCTGCCCGTGCCAGTGCGTGCGTAGACCCTGTAATGATGCATGCTGCACCTGCTACAGCCATTACAGTAGCAGCTCACGGGCCCAGGGGTTGGTGCAACATTTGGTGTCAGCTGACTGGCGTCAATCTCATCGATCGGCGTGGCTTTATGCCGCCATATGCCGCCCGTCATGCTGACGCCCACAGCCTTACCTTCCTGCTCCTGTCTGGGGAGGGAGGAGCTCGTGCTATTGTCCTCGGTCTTGCTATGTCTATGTCTTGGTGCTGGTTCCGTCTATTTCCGTCTCTTATCAGTCTGGCAATGTCTGGCGCTGGATCAGGGGGTCGCAGCATCAGGAACACAACCACCGCGTCCGCCTACTCTCTCCTGAACAAAGTCCGAAGGAGCAGTCCGAGGAAGAGTGAATCGCCGTGGATGAAAGGAGCATGGCACACTCTGTCACCAGTGAATGTCGAGATCACGTACCAGAAATGTATCAGAGGGATAAAAAGTGAAGCGGCAGACACATCATCACACTGCAACGAAAGTTTCTCTGAAACCCAACACAACCTGACCGATGGTTTGAGAACGGCAAGCTCGCTAGTCTCAGCGACATCCCTTACCGACAACCCGCGCTGCGTCAAGCATCAAGACAGCTCGCGGCAATGCCCAGACCCCTCCAAATTTGCGGTGAAGTGTCGGAATGACTTCGGCCAGTAGGACGACTGGCATGCCGAACAAAAGACGCAATAGATTTTGTTTCCGATCAAAGTCTTCCTCGGGGCCAAGATGGCAGATTCCCAAGTACCCGCAAGAAAGACAGTGTAAGCTGAAGTTGTATGGCCGAGGCTCAGAGGTACGTGGCGGCTGCGCATCGCGGAAAGCTACAGAACCCACTGAACCATGCCAGCCTGCAGAGGACGCTTGCAACACGCTGCAGATGCCGTGACTGCGATGTGAATTATTGCGAATACCATCTGTCGCACCCCAGCGGTCGAAACGACGCCGCATTGCATGACCGAAGTCAGCCAACTCTTGGTTTGACCTGCCACTGACCTTCTCACTGGTGCCTGGCATCGTTGAAAGCGGCAGAACGGCCTTTCCAGCAGGTACCACAGTGTCCTGAAAGGGCTCCATGTTGCAAGTCGCGGGAATTCCGTACCCGCTCGACTCCTGTGCCAGGACCGCCGTCGGGCCGACAGCTGCGCGGTCACCTGGCAACTCATTCCAAGGCGACGACTCGCACTCGCGGATTCTCGCGGCCTATGCGAATGGGGCCCAGGTGGACGCCGCCATGAAGAACGCTGGAGGTGGCCAGCTTGGCCTTCTTACCTTGCGCCGGTTGTGAAATGGCAACGAGTTGCATGGCGCAGCATCGTCTAACAGCTTGCATAAACTTGTGCTCATTGTGCTCCTCAAAACACGTGTTGGCGCATTGCAGTCAAAGCCAAGGCTCCGATTGTCGCGTGCGCACCGATTTCCAGTAGGTCCGGGTCATGCACGCTGAAAACTCCAATTCTGGCCCCCTCACCCACCTTTGCACCTGCAAACTGGCCGGGCTTGCAGAAACTGTTGATAAGGTTTTTTAGGGCCCAAAAATAGTACGGAACCCTAGTACAACAAGCCCGACAACGGTCCCCAATCAGAACTATGCACGTGTCCGCACGCCTAAGGCTCGCAGCACAGAGCTGGCAATCGATGTATCAGCCACGAGGGGCATGGCCAGCTTCAACGTGTGGCTCAAGAGGGTGTTCACAAACCACCATCTGTAGTACTCCTTACTGCTGCACACCCAACTTCGCCAAGTGCATCTTGTTTCGTGCTATCCAAGGCTCTGCTGACCACAGACTCATGGTGCCTGGCTGCGCCGATACAGCTTAGAGCTTCCGGTTCGGAGTGCGATGGCAAAAAAGACATCGGTACTCCAAGTGCAGCAATATTCAGAAGCTACCACGTCGTCCTGCATTTATGCATCGAATCCGCCTGGCTTCACTCGCCCCACGATCAGCCACTTCAGCAGAACCACAGCAGTGAACATCATCACCTGCAAGGGGTGCAAACGGCGCTTGCAGTTGGGGAAAGGAACCGGAACGAGGCAACAGCACTGCAGACCAGGAGCAAGGTCCAGAAGAGCGGCAAATGGCAGGTAAAGGAAGAGCATTGTACGCCCGTAGTACCTCAGAAAGTGCGCAATGGTGGCCACATCATGTTGCTAGCGCAGATTGCAGGGAGGTGTTGCTTCCATTCGACGAGCTACTCGTAGATGAACCAGGCTGCCCACCAAATCGGAGACCAAGCCTTCCACGGGTCATCGGGTGATCAAATCCACGACTTTAGTGGAGCCAACACACAAGGCCTGGCTCTGGAAGAGAAAATTCATGCAGAAGACCTCATGTCACTTCAGTGCACCATGCTGAGGAATGATCAATGCTGAAAGCTGATCAAAGGCAAGGCGCGCTGACGGCCTGGATGCAGACAGAGGATGCTGAAGTGGAGCTGTACGGGGATCTTTGTGGTTGGAGTGCCAAGGCTCCTGGGAGCACGAGGTACGACTAAGAGGCCTTCTTTGAGTCCGCGCCGCTGAATACAAAAGAGAGGGAATCCGTCCTGACGGCTCTGATTGCAGTTGGCCTGTGTCCGTCTCTTGAGCAAGAAGATTCTCGACTGCCGCCGCGATTCCTGAGACAGGGAAAGCAGAATTGGACCGAGAAAATGCTCCAGGAACTGCCACTATCTGCAAGGCTTTGCAGGCAGGAGGCGTCGGACAGTACCAAGTTGGTAGACCGTCGTTCCTTTAAAGGTGGAAAGCCCGAAAGCTTTCTTGATGGCCGAACTGGCTCGGCCCATGAGGAGGCTATCTCAGTGGCACCATTCAGCTGAAAGGACTCTGCTTCTGCACGGGGCCCCAAGAGTCCGGACAGGGCACTTCCTCCCATCTCTTGAAAGTCCGAGTCCAACTGAACCATCTCGACTGGAAGGCCTGCTGATCATCTCTGGGACGAAAATGATTCTCACGAAGTGTATGTACCCGCATGTGCTGCATGCCTGGAACCTTGCTTTGGCTGTTTGTAATGTGCGACCATCTCCCATCTTGAAAATGCTGCGTGCAACCTCCGGCCTAGCACAGCTGCAATTGCGACCGCAGTGGCTTTCTGCACCTAGGTCATGTCTTCATTCGTCGAGTCTCCCTTGTGTCCCATAGTCTCTAAGGCCAATGCTGGTGTTTCTGGCATTGCCTCCTCTGTCTGGTTCACGACAATCGCAGGGGGTTCCGGAAGCCTTGGAAGGACCAATTCAGGCCCTAACAAACTTCCTGATGTTGGACAGCTTGATGGCGCCAAGGTGCATCTTCCGATCAATCTTACCATTTGTGTTTCGCGGAAGCTGCTCCATTTGCACGATGCTTTGCGGCCTAAGATGACAAGTCTTCAAGGGCTCAAGAAAGCCCCGGAAGGAACAAGAAACTGGCATCTGTGTTCTCAGAAGTTCAAGCCAGCTCCTGGCCACTTGCTAAACTCGCGTTCTGTTATACGAACTGCCCCGGTTGACGACTTGCGGGCGCATGCCTGTCTCTCGAGAAAAGTTCGAAAGCAAACCTTCTTTCCAAATGGCCGTTGCCAAGTCTTCGTGACATGGCTGCGTGGATCTCGCTGGACATTTTTTACAGGAGTTAAGTGCATGCAGGAAGCTGCATGTACGGTGGCAGAGACTTCTGGCAGGACTTGCGGACGGCCGCTTCCGGCACATCCTGGTCGGGACCTGGCGGCGGGTTTAGTCCAACTTAACGGAGACATCGCCCCGAAGCACAGCTCAGCTTGCCTGGCTCGTAGTAGGCCACGAGCGCCTGCACGCGAACAAAGAGGCACTGCGAGTTTCTAGGTAACTCAGGAGTCCAACGGGTCACTTTTCCCTAACTCGGCTTGGGCAGGCTTGAGCTCTCATCGGCCGTGGCTTTTCTACAATGGACACGACAGCTTCGACAGCTTCGATGATGTGCCAGCCCCCATGGCGCAGACTGAGCTAAAATACGAAAGGGGCGCCGCCTGCGTCCCATTGCTGCTCTTCTTCAAAAGGCAGACCGAAGCCCGAGCGCCCGCCGCTCTGCAGGCAGCCTGTGGATGAAAAGCGGCAAGCCGCAGTTCGATTCGTGCGCCCCCAAAACCCCAGGCTCAGGCCTCGATTTCTCCAAGCTCGATGCGGAAGCCCCGCAATTTGACCTGCTCGGCCCCAGGGCCCTCATGTTCCCGTCCGGCGTGCTCATAAAAAGCCACAACTTTGCACCTGGAAGTCTTTACGGCCCAGCAAATCTACGACACCACCAGCACGCCATCGGCCAAGATCACCTAGAACAGGGAAATCATTCATCCTCACAGCGTAGTGAAGAAGCACAGAGCTAGATGAGGGGAGCTTGAACTTTCCAGCGACTGGCCTGTCATGTAGAGACGGTCATTTTGCTTCTGTGTCGGATCAGAACCATTAGATCCATTTGATACCTCGCTCAACCATGCTCCGGAACTGCCCGCGTCGGACGCGAATGGAAATACGAAACCGCTGATTAAGCCCGAGCTCCGACTTTCCAAGCAGCGGGGCATTGCTGATCTCTTCTGTGATGTTCAGTCCTTGTTGCAGATTGAAGCCTCGCCTTGCCGCCTTGCCCTCATGTTGCCGTTTTGGCTAAGGATCCACTGAAAGAGCTCTTGTGAGGCGTGGCCGTGAAGTCAGGGACAAAGGCCTGTGCGTCCAGATCTGGCCTGCAGATGCCGAGTCAAGTAGCTGCAATCTTGCATGTGTTAGACTCGAAGCAATCCGAAGCAATGCCCCGTGCCCCGTCCTCCCCAAGTAGCCACGTGCAATGAAGGGCCCACCAAAGGCGATCTCTGCAGGCTCCAGGCTCCCTGCAGGCTTCTGGTCCCGCAAGTCCGTCAAAACCACCTGTCACTTCATACACCGGCGAGAGGCCATGCCAAGGGCGCTGTGCTTTGCATTGCTCCTACTCCGAATGAAGTCGTTTTCGATGATGTCGAAAAGTGACAAGGGCTACTACAACAACAGCACTGCTTCAGACAGCCGTGCGACAAAAAAAATATAGAAAACATGCCAAATTGAAAATAAGAAATCCAGGGTACCCTGGACTGGGCAAGCCAATTTCTTATGGTGCCCTTCTCATTTTGTCTTCGCTGGTTTTGAGACACCCGCGGGTTCGAGCCCACAGCCTTTTGCGAACTAATTTTGCACTTGCCAACTGAGCTACAGCCTGCCCAGACGGGGAATTGCGGTGACAGCTTTGGAGGGCTCCAAAGGCTCTGTAAGGGCTTAATAAGGCTTTATCATATGCGAAAAAAGCACCAAAATAAGAAACGGAGGGGCTCGATTTCCAACATTTAAAAAATTGAGGGGCTCAATTTCTTGTTTTGGGGGGGTTCTCGGGTTGCCTAGTAAGGGCTGAATCAGGGCTCTACTAAGCCCTCAGAACAGCTTTGGAGGGCTCCAGAGGCTCTATAAGGGCTTAATAAGGCGTTTTACTTGTTAAGGCTTTGCCATGTACGAAAAAAACCCGCCAAGATAAGAAATTGAGGGGCTCGATTCCTTAAATTTAAGTAATTGAAGGGCTCGATTTCTGAATTTGGGGGGTTCTGGTAAGGGCTGAATACGAGCTGTATACGGTATCGACATGGCTTGAAACAAGCCTACAGGATGCCATGCCCGAGTGCATGAGCTACAGTAGAGTGGAAGCTGCGGCGGGCTCGAGTCCCTCAGTCCCTTGATATCTTTGCGGATAATTTTTGGAGCCTTTTCAAATTAAGACATTTGGGTTAAGAAATCCAGGGTATGCTCAATTCCCGACATGTATTTCTTACCAAAAAAAAAGGTGCGCTTCAACATTAAGAAATCGAGCCCCCCCCCCCCCTCACGAAAAATTAACTGCTTCTTAACCGGCGCTGTCGCTGTAGTAGCACAAGCATGCTGTGAGTGACACCACGGTACACCGTGCACTGGTCCAATTCAGCTGCACTTGCATTCGAAACCGAAGCACGCCATCTGCTGGCGCTTTGACTCCACTACAGAAGTGCACCTGGCGCACGTTGACCTCTTATTCAACCGAGCAACGACTCAACTGTTGCTTAACAGGCCATGCGATGGTTCCAGTGGCGTATGATGTTGAGAGAACTGGGGATGCAAAGGTGTCCCTGAGGTCAGGAACACGCTCCGCACAGCATGGCAGATTTGAGGAACAAAACATATTGCCGTAGTCTAATCGCAGCAAAGCCGAAACGCCACGACAACACGACGTTCAACAAGCAGAGCATAGGGAACCTTGCAGCCTTCCATAGGGCGACCAGCGGAAACGCGCAGCAGTGCACGGCCCTGTGGAACGTCCCAGTAGCTCATCTCACCTTCCTCGGATGCATGGGTGACAAATGACCCATGTATTCATTCTGTGTCAATCTGTAGGACGCAACTTTCGCGCAACTCTTCCACAGCCTCTCGCGCCTTGACGTGCTGGCATGTTTCGGAGTCACTGCCGTGCTGCCACACAAGAAGACTGGGCCAATGCGTTTGAAAGCCACTGTGTCGAATACGCAGAGAGGCCACGTGCAGTAATTACACTATTCTTGGCGACAGCTTTTGCAAAGGCTGTCAAGGACTAGATTTGGGATGATTTGGGTTGTTCTGCTGTAGGGCTTTACGAAATCTGATTCAGGGATGTATGCTACGTACCCGATACCTCTTTACGGACTATGTTACCGGCTCTTTGTGCATGATTGCTGTTTCGGTCCATTTTGAGGACTTCCGTGTTGGCAGATGCGTTTACGGTTGGCATGTCTGCTGCGGAAATGGCTTTGTTGTTTTTGAGTATCTCAGCAGGTCCTTTAATGCCATTCAGAGATTCGGCTGTCGGACCCCTGAATGTTACAGTAGCACTCGGGACAGTTCTTAGCCGGCAGTCTGCAGACGTTGTGGTGCATTCGGCTGTTTGGACGAGACGGTGCTTAAGCAAACCACTTCTGCAAACGTTTCAAGAAAGTACTTCTCGGAACGATATTTCGAGTCGGGAACCCGAGTTGGTTCCGGAAATACAGAGGCCACAAGAAACGCAACATCGCCACTGGTTTTTTGCTGAGATGGACCCGCAACAAGCCTTTTGCTACACCTGAAAGCCTGAACTCAAGGCTGTCAACCGAACAACTCCAAGCATCCGTGGGGCCGTACAAGTTGGTCAGCGTGCAGTGGAAACGGGAGAACATTTTCCTTTGTAGTGTGGCGGGGCAAAGAGTCAAAGATACTTAAAGTCTTGAGGCTCCTGTTTAACTTCTGGGCCGCTCTCTCGAAACGTTATCGTTGTCACGGCTCTGTGCCAGGGCCGGGCTCAATGCTTCTCCACACGTGATCACTTCCCGGGCTTTGGAGTGATGCCACCACGTACCTCAGCTCCGGCCATCAAAAACCCTGTGAGTAGGAAGAAACAACAGCGTGACGACCATGAAGCAAGCAATAAACAAACAGAAATCGGGAACAAAAAAACAAACACATTGTGTCGGGCACTTGCGGTGTTCGTTTCTGTGTTTGCATGGTCATGGTCCACTCGAACATTTGCCTCTGTGCTGTGTTTTGGTTTTTCTTTGCCTGCCGCTGTTTTGTCAGTGTTCCGGGCTAGGGCTGGCCTGCCCATGGCTAATCTGCCTTGTTTTTTGTGCGCAAATGCTTTGATTTCGTGAAGCGTGGTTTCTTGTGTGTTCTGTCTCTCCCTTCTTATTGTGTGCATGTGTTTCTGGTGCCAAAGACTTGAGATCCTCAACATGAGCTGTTTCAACCGAGCGGCCTTCCGAATGATGCTCTTCAGCTTTGCGCTGCAAGTCCTCTTCCTGACACAGCAAGGTGGCAAACGGGCCCACGAGTGTATTCCCGTGTAGTCCGGACACCCTGGAACGGCAAGTTGTCAGAGTGCCTTGGCCTTGCCTTACTGATTGCCTGAGGTGGCACACAAGACGTAAACAAGAGAGTCCTCCAGCTCATCGTACTTCTCGAGGACCATCTGAAGCATAGAAGGCACCTGTAGCAAGCTCAAAACGTCTTGCCCACAGCCGAAAGACCGCAGAGAACACCGCGACCAAGAGCGGAACGAACACATGTGCGGCCACGCAGTGGATCAGATCGGGAGACGGTCCCCTTCCAGGAAGCAGCCGAGCATCTTCCTCCAAGACATGCGCGGCGGCGTCGTTTCTGAACCTACGGCCAACATGCCCCTGTGGCGGGTTTAGGAGCTCCTTCGGGCACGGGGGAGTGAACGCGTTGCATGCACGGCGCAGAAGATAGTCCGCATCTTTCTCGCCACCTGAGAACTGAAGAACAGCACCCCAAATTTCGCTCTCGGCAGAGCGCTGAACCTGGCATGTGCCTGGTGGAGCGATGACGAGTGTAGCTCCAGCCACAAGGGGCCAGAAGATCTCCCACTCTGACAAGCCGAAGGTATACGCCACCTCCGTGTCAGATGCAGCCGGCAGACTGACGTGGTACGGCACTGTCAGGTACAGCATCGATACACTGGGACGCCTTGGAGACAACACCTTCTCCTTGCCGGAGGGGCCACTTCTGCTGAAACCAATGAATCCGGTGAACCTAGCTCGCGAAAAATGGAAAGGTCTACAGCACCCCATTGCTGCAAGCATCATGTCGGACAAGATTGCGAGAATAAGACATGCAAAGCAGCAAACTCTAGTTGAATGCAGGATTCTGGGCCCCGTACAAGTCCTTTGTTTTCGACCTGGTGACACGGATATGACACGGCTTCCGGAGTCCGCGCAGGCCGTACTTAGACTGAGCAGCTCACCATCACTCCTTTGGGCTTTCCAGTGGTGCCGGAGGTGAAGAACGCGTAGACGAGTGAGCTGCCGGAGCCACGGTCTTCCAAGTAACCGCCACTGGCTGCATTCATCGAAATGTCCAGAACATGCGAAACCTCCGCCTGCCGCTCCAGATGCAACTGCTTTGATTGCAACCCGAGCAATCAGTGACAAAACGATTGCCTCGAGGGCTATGTGCGAAAGCTTCTTGTGGCAATCAGAAGATGCGAGAACCACCTGGCCGACACAAACCATGTTCGGCATTGTTCGGTCATGGTGTTAGCCGGCTCTGATCGCCTTCGATCTGCATTGGCGCAATACATCTTGAAGACGATCGTCCGGCCAGTGCAGATCCAAAGGAACATAGCCTCGCAGCAAAGCTGTGGACACTCATGAATCTTCATGCCGACTCACATAAGCACAACTCGCCAATTTCTCGGGGCTGAACCACTTCCAGTCCGAATGATGCCGAGAATTCCCAAGATCATCTCGACACTTCTTGAAGCCATTAAGGGGACCAGACTATCCACGGGAACCTTGGCTAAGGGTCTCAGACGGCTGCCTCCGTCTCAAAGGTGGCCTGCAGCGGTTCTATTCTGGGCTCATCATGTGCAGTGGAGACTCCCCAGTGCGTGCAAGGCCATGGGCAATGGAACCTCAGGACGACCACCGCACGTGTCTGGTTTCCGACACACACACACACAACACGCCTGTGCAGAGAAGTACTTGTGCAATCTGAGAGAAATAAGCACGATGTAAGAGATAAGAGACTCTCTCTAGCAGCCAGGCTAACAGCAACTTTCACTTCTGAGCGAGGCACTGGACATCCTCAAGACTTCCTTGCCAGGAACAAGGAGCGGCTTGGTCTGCCAACTTAACGCATCGACAGGCTTGGCTCTTGCCATCGGTGTGTTCTAGTCCTCCCGCTTCCCCGAAGTCCTCGTAGGTGTAGGTGGCCCCGGTGCCGTCGTCGACCATTGCGAGGGCATGAGGCGACGCTGCTGCAGTAGCCGCAAGCCTCGAGAACCCTCTCAAATCTGTCAAAGAAGGGGACCAATCTCAGCCAAGCAACATGGACGTCATGGAGCGGTCGGCAGAAAAAGGATTCGCAGATTGTGGGCAGTAGCACGAAGAGCCTTAGGCAGCCAAGCTCTCTGCACGGCGCAACAGAGTCTGGCTGGTTGCAACATGCCATGAAAAAGCAGCACACTGCTCAATGGACACATCGCATCGCAGGACTTGGGATCAGATGACAGGCTCGTAATTATTGTTGCACAGGATTGCCTAGGAGTCCGAAAGTCATGCCCCAAGTACTATACACAATCGGAACATGCCAGAACAATTCTGACTGCAGCTTTATGAAGCAAAGGTCTGCCTTTCCAAAGCTACCTGCAGAGCTTCCACCTGGGTGCATGCCTCTGCCCTGCAGGATTGTCAGGATGGTTTCTGTCAGATGACATGTGTGCTGCTGTTTGGAAACGGTGCATCTTCCGTGACCTAGGGGCCTGTATACATGCCGTGGCCGCGCTACCCTGTACATGCAAAGGGAAAATAAGAAGAGATTTCATGCAGCCAAGCAGCTGTATGCATCGGCCCAGCTCGACACTTCTGCTTCATCCGGTGATGTGGGTTCATGCAATGGCAGCTGGCAAATGGCAATTGTTGGCGACCTGCTGTCGCGCGATGTCACAGCTGCCCACACAGACACAGATGCCTCATGCCATCACACTCTTCGGGGCAGCGTCTTGTGGCCTCACCATGGCATCCAGGAGTGCCGTAAGGTGTCGCATCATCCTGACCAGCCGAGACCCAGAGCATTACCTGCTTCGATGTGCATGAACGCATGTGTGTGTGGTGCATGCGTGCGAGTCCTGCCGACGGTATCCGGAGAGAACAAACCACGTGGGCAACGAAGCTCCTTCGATCAACGTGCCACCGAAGGGCTGCATACCGCGACCGCAAGGCCCTACCAACAGCACCGCTCCAACTTCGAGTTTGAATTCGGAGCCGGTGGCCACCGAGTGCACACCAGCATCAGCGCAGCCTGGCAGAAGCAGCCCGGACAGCCGTCCTGCTGATCACGCTCTTGGCCTAGTGCCCTAGTGAAGTGCTTGGAACGCTCGGCGCCTTTGCACCGGATGTTGCAGGCATCGCTTCTGTGCCGAGGACAACGAAAGCCTTTGAAGCTGCGCTGTTTGCTGGATTCATGCCCAAAGCCGGAAGGCTTCGGGAGATGTTCGGTTGTTTTGAATTTCGGGACCGTGCGACATGCGTCCTCATTCGCCAGCAGTAGTTACGGGTCATTAGGATGGGATCGCAAGGTCTTTTGCAGGCGCATCGCAGAGTCACGTGAAGGCTCGGTCAAGCTTCTGAGCCTGCTACGTCCATTGACCGGCACAGTCGAAGACTTCCGTTTGGTGCCTACCATTGCTTCCCGAGGCATCGTATCCATCAAGCACTTCACGCAACCCTCCTCGGAGTTCGTCAGCATGTCCAGCTTTAGCAAGCCATCCGCTTGCAAGAGCAAGTTGGGATCCTGCATCGAATCCAAGACAACACCATTTCAATCCATTTCATGCTGGAGCCATGGAAGATGCCTTGACCAGCGCAGCCTGACACGGCTCTGACACGACAGAGCCAAGACAGATGGTTGCAAAGCGCAGCCTCTGTGCCGATGCGCTCGAAGAGGCAGCGTGCTGAAGCAAAAGAAGATAAAGGTGTAATCACGGAGTTCTCCTTCAGCCACAAGTCTCGTGATGTTTGAACTCGCAAAGTACAGTGGGAGTCCAGCGACGAAGGGCTGGACGTAACCAGATTCCTCCTCGGTAACCGGGCCGGCTGGCCACACTGGCGTTGTGTCGTATGGCTGCCTGACAGGCGCAGTGACTGAGCCGCAAAGCGCGCAAGGAGTGCTCAAGCTACGGTCCACCCTGCTAAGGCCGCACCTCAACAGACTGACTCGCAACGGCTGACAACCAGTCTTGCCCAGATCGCTGCGCCAAAGGCCGATTACTGTCTCGGAGGCCTGCACATTCAAAACAATTCAAAAGTGTTGTCGTGACATGTCGTGACGAAGCATGGCTGGTGCGCACCATGCTGTACCGTCCCAGCAACGCGGCAAGGCCGCCCACAAGCTGCGCCATGGCCTCGCTGAGGACCTGCAATGTCGGAGCGTCTTGGTGGGAGGCCTTGCAAGGGGAACGTGCTTTGATCTGAGCCCTGCACGGGCGAGATCAGACCTGCTCAGGTCAGCCGGCCGTGAATACGTAACTCACTGCTTCACGGCCTTTTGTGGAAGAGGTGAGCGATACGGTCGTTGCCTGAGGAGCCAACGGACGCTTCATTTGAGGGATGCCAATCGGATGATTGAACGGAAAAGCGCTGCTCTCCTCGCGGTGTTGCTCAGAAGGTCCAAGTTGATCAGTGGGAAGCTGCTGAAGAATTGGCGTGCAGCCCTGAAGACAGTCTTACAGACAATAGCCCTCCCTGCTTCTTGTTGGCACTACCATAGAGAAGTGCCTCCAATTTGCCGGCCCAATGTTGCACCACGGCATCCTGGTGCCAAGAATGGATTACGCGGCCTCTGCCACCACAGTGATTGTGCTTTCGCAGGACCACCAGCTGGTACGGTACCATCGGGATTGTAGCAGCACCATGGAAGTGTTAAAGGCAGTCAAACGCGACATACTCTCACCCTCAAACGGATTTCAGACATCGGAACCCTCGGAGCCGCAGGTCAAAGGCTGTCAGCTTCCCTGCGGTCGGAACCTCCGTGGGCGAGGCCTCTCCGGGAGCTTCCAAGGTCCTTCGAAGCGTAGCTCGGATCTGAGGGCTCCAAGACCATAGGCAATCGGTCGCCCGGTCCGCAGCAGCGGAGCATGTAGTGACATGACGAGGGCACCTCGGAGATGAAAGCTGAGTGGGAGGGAACTCTTCGCGGGCGGGCAGCACGTGGCGGCCTCGTCAAAAAAGAGTGCATCCGGCATCATCCGGCAAGAGCCAGCTGGAACAGGACAGCGGTGAACTGCACTGCGAGTCCGGTGGAAATGTCGTTAGCAAATGACAAAAGACAGGCTGGGGCGGCTAGGGACTCGGATGCGGCTCTTCTGTTCTGCCGTCTTACCGACAGAGGGGCGACGCGATGTCGCTTGCGAGGCGCTATGCACAAGAGTGTGCCAGCTGGTTGACCCAGCAGACATCAGGACTAAGAGTTTCTGAGCGCTGTGCTTCTCAATACGGTCAATCGACCCAAACGCATGACTTCTTCACACATTATCATCGCAATCGCGAAGCACTTTGCTGCTGGTGGCCTTGCCCCTAAGGAGCAGCCTAACTATCAACAGGTCGAGGCCAACTAGCACTCTATGGGATCATCGGCGTCACCTGAACAGACGGCACTTTGCACTGCAAGTAGTCGCAGCCATCTCCGAAGTTCCAACGAAACCCTGACTTGGCCACTGACTCTGCGAATCCAGGCAGGTGAAAATCTCCATCAAGGAACGATGGTCTCGTGCCTGTGGGGTTATTCAGTCCCATCGGAGAACTGGAAGACAGGAAGAAATGCAAGGCTCACATGGGCAAGGCATGAACACAATTTGCAGCCAATGTGTGAAACACCCTGCCTTGAGTAAACGTCCGCCGGGTAAAAGCAGGGCGAGCTGAGGCCTCAGCAGACTGCTGTTGCACATCATCTCTGGCGGCTTGTCTCTTGAGCTGCGGACTTGGGAAGGCCTAGCCTGCCGCACAAGAAGCATCTCCAGCGCGTTTTCTGAAAAAGGCACCTCGCTCATGCCCCGCCTCCCAGCGAGCTCCTCACAGGGCCAATTTACAGCAGATGCACATGTGCACTACCTGTGACCGAAGAGGCATCGCAAAGTCAGATATGTTTGCAGTGAGGAACAATTTGTCCGACAGACAAAAACTTAGTTATATAGCTCATCTCAAGTGCAAAGTGAGCTCCATCTCCCTGTCTTGATTTCGATTCCAAGACCAGTGGCACACGGGCGCCTCTCGCAGCTCACGGAGGCCCTTGGAAGCATCAAGCGCGAGCTCTGTGAGGACCGTGCCGGCCTGCAGAGATCAAAGATGTCTTGATGTCCACAACACGCACGGCAAAACACGTTCTTCGACTAAGCTTCACTTTAGACTGAGGAGCTGGCCATGCTAGTGCAGGAAATATGCAGCGTCTGCGGCACGCTTGCCAGTACGTCTAGGGATTTATCATTTGTCCTGCCCGACTGTCAAGCTCATGTGAGAGCTTCCCTGCTGAAGACGGCTGTCCTTTGTGGTAGCTGGGCACCGCCAACCTATCCACGGCCGAAAGAGGGAAGGAGCCAAGCCAATCCAAGTGCCAAGGCTGCCTGAAGCTCTGACTCTGAGCTTCTTGGGCTCTGCAGCTGCGCACGCAAAGTGACAACCTTTCCAGGCCGAGACGGTCGAGACAGAGTCCTGAGACGTCGTGGGATATCTCAAGCCTTGCCTTCCTGGGTGCCCGATTGCGTTGGAGCAGTGCCTTTCGCCACGCGACAGCTTGAAAGCCGCTGAAAACCAGAGGGGCAGCTCAGCAACTCGTTGCCAACTTTTTCAAACTCGCAGAGCTGGTAGGCATAGACTAAAGACTAAAGCGTGAAGTATCTGATGACTTCCTATTGGAGGCGAAATATCTGTACAAAACTTGGACTCAGGGCGTGAATCTACCAGGCTGAACCCCATGCCTCATCGTTCTGGAAATCCTGCGCAGCCTGGGCATTTTGGCCAGCCGCCTCTTGCTGTTCATGCTGAGCGGCCTCTTCGGGATTCTGAGTGGCCTCATCGGCAGCCTCCCAACTGTTGTCCTTCCAAGTGTCTTCTTGGCTTTGCGCCCACCCTCCCTCTGTAGCAGAAGGTGTCCACCTGACGCAAGCGGTGTTTTTGTTTTCGAAACTACCATGAGTGCATTGTGCGCACTGTCCGCTCACATGGCCAATAAAGCAACTGAGGTTCCGACGCGGACCAGGCTTCTCGAGCATCCTTCGTATCGTTCCCGTTGCTACCCCATGATCCTGCTGTTAGGGTTTTGCACTTCTCAAGAAGCCAGTCCGGCACCGTTGTGTTCGGTGCCCCCTCCATGAATGTGGGCAACTCCCGGAGCATCTCGTCAGTATCAGTAAACCAACTATCCTCCATGGTGACGAAGCTCAGAGCCGTGCCACGATGGCCAATGCGGCCCGTGCGGCCAATTCGGTGAACGTAGACAGCTGGCTCCTTCGGCAAGTCGTAGTTCACCACGTGGGACACTTTGCTGATGTCGAGTCCTCTGGCTGCCACATCTGTTGCAAGCATCACATCAATCTTGCCCTCGCGGAACAAGGCGAGGTTTGACTCTCGCTTCGGCTGGTCCAAGTCGCCATGAAGGGCACCCGTCTTGGCAACCTCCTTGTCCCAGAGGAACTCGTCCAAGGCCTTGGTCTGGTTCTTACTGTTCGTGAACACGAGCATTCGTTCTTCACCAGTAGTCCGAGAGTTTTGCATCCATTGGTCAATCAAGGCTACAAGCTCATTGAGCTTGTCTTTTTTGTCCACTTGAAGTAGCACCTGGGTGACTGTTGCAGCAGGGCTGCCAATCTTTCCCACTCTCACAAACAAGTGCCGCTGCAAGTAGTCGTTGGCAATACTCTGAATCGCATCTGGAAAAGTGGCCGAGAACATCATGGTTTGGCGCTCGTTGGTTCCAGGCATGCCTCGCTTTTCCACGAGCTCTCGGATGGTTTGTTCGAAGCCGAACTCCAGCATTCGGTCAGCCTCATCAAGCACCAGGCAGTAAGTCTCCTTCACACTGATGATCTCAGCCTCCACATAATCTGCAAAGCGACCGGGCGTCGCCACGCAGATGTCGGCCCCCTTGGAGAAGTCACGGAATTGATTTTGTCGTGCCTCCTGTCCATAAACACGGACGACACGATAGTCTGTACCATAGCAGAAGCGGAGAGCATCGTCGTAAATTTGAAGGGCCAGCTCCCGAGTAGGAGCCAAGATCAGAGTGTCTGGCTTACAAGGACCCTCGAAGGGTTCTTTCAGTCCACCAGTTGCTCTGTGGTTCTTCATCATGCTTGCTAGCATGGGGATCAAATATGCTGCTGTCTTCCCGCTGCCTGTCTGAGCACAGCACATGACATCCCGTCCAGCTAGTCCTGCGATGACGGCATATTTCTGCACAGGTGTAGGGTACTGAAACTTGAGTAGCTTCAGGTTCTCCTCCAGCTGCTTCGGGACTGTGTCAAAGCGGGAAAACAAATCCTCAAACGTGTCTAGATGTTTGGGAAGGGACTCCGACCCGTCACCGCTGACTTGAACTTCCACTGAGTTGTATAGCTCGAAGTCGACTCCTCTGTCGCCTGATTCGTCTAAGAATTTGCACGAACTATTGTGGGTGTCGGGCAGGATGCCAGCATCCTTGTACCAGTTTTGGCATTCATAGTACTCTTTCCGATAGGTCTCATGCCGCCTCTTGTTTGCATCCTCGGCAGTCTCGGCAGGTTGCTGGTTCGTTTGCCAAGCGTTGGTCGATCCGCCAGTCCACGAAGACCATGCGTCTTCCGGCTCCTTTTGCTGCTTGCCCCAATTGCCCCACGACTTCCCATCATTGCCTTCGTCCTGTGGTGCTTGCTGGGCATTATCATAGCCCCATCCGTCCGAAGTGCCCCAGGTCTGGCCCGACTGGGACTGGTATCCATTGCTCGCGTCGGCATGTTCAGCATTCCACGCGGTGTCCTGCAACGCTTGCTGTGGCGTCTGCTGCCAAGGGTCTGAGCCGTGCTCCCACGGATCTTCTTGCCCCCATGCCATGATCAAGCCGACAATTCAGACTACGTCTGCGATGCTTATTTTGACAGGCTGGATTCAGTGCTAGTGCAAAGCCGAGTCCTGCTGCTCTCGCACACTAACCTAGATCATTCTCCTTCTTACGCAAGCTGCTGCCTGCTCACTCACCAGATGCTATCGACTATCGACATCGTGAAATGTGATCAGTTTGAGCCACCAGTGATAGAAGTGCTTCAGCAGCTTTAGAAGCTCTAGAGGCTCTAGCAGAAAAGAACACGGCATCTTTTTTCGCGGCAGCTGCTCATTACTGTCGGGGCATGACTCCTTTGAAAGTTGCAGCATCACCCTCAAGAAGGGCGACGGTCAGTCCACGCCAAAACTCTATCACCTGGCACGTAGAGGCAGACGGCTGTGACTTGCTTCAATTCATGTTTCGCCTGATATGCTTCTTGACGGTGCCAATGCCGTGTCTCCCGCGAGAGGTCCATCAACGCCTTGCAGCGCAGATTTGATCCTTCTGCTGTGGATGAAGCGAGTCACGCGTTCTCCTCCAGCGGCAAGTGCCGAAGCAGTGCGATCAGATGCGCTGCCGAATCCTAAGAGCTTGCGGAGCTTGAGCATGCTGCTGGGTCCCAGAATCTCGACCAGGATAAAAGAGGCTTGACTGGTGTTGTCAAGCAGCAAGGTGTACAGGGTAACACGACTGGCACTACTTCATCGCTGAGGCTCAAAGTAGATGGTGTAGGGCAGCAGGGCCATCTCGCTCCATTGGGACCAGAAAAGCGTGCCGTCTAAAGGTTGCAAATCCCTGCGGTCTGTGGTGAACAGCTGGAACGGCGAGCGTCCGAAGGGTCCTGCCAGGGATTCGCACCTGCTGCCCCAACAAGTGTAGCAAAAACCGGGTGCCGCGAACCTGCGTGATCATCCCATTGCGACAAAGCCTTGGCACCTGCGGTTCTTTTGGAAACACGGAGTCACAGGATGTGCGCTGCAAGCGTAGGGCCATGGCATGGGCCCTCGTCGGGGAGGAAACCCCAAGGGTCTGTGTAGAACGACTCTGGCAGAGTTGGCATTCGCAGCTCCTCCAGTTGGGCCAAAGGGATGACTTCTTAGCTCATAGAGGCTTGCTCCTGCTTCCCTTCGTCGCAGATCCGTTTGTGTTCACTCTGGGCCACACACTGTGGGACCCTGTGCTACGTTCCAGAGCCAGTGTAAGCAGACAAAACCACGCTAAAATGTGCCCGAATTCGAGTAAGTTGCACTTACCCCCTATTGTCGACAGGAGGCTGAATGCAAATGCTCGTGACACACTGTATGAGCAGCCCCAACACAAATGTTCTGCAACCTGGGTTCATTGACCTTTGCAGGACTGAGATGCGGAACTGTGGAACAGGGCATCTCATTGCACGGGTAAGTCCGAATGTCACACCTGTTTTGATTTAGTCACCGGCTCTCGTTATCTGCACCTGCATCGCAGGTTTGGGGGGCCAAAAGACTGAGGCCCCTGGAACTTACAAATCTTCTGTCCTGTGTCTGCAGCTCGGTGTAGCATTCATGTGGAGGATGCCAGCGACTGTCTGCAAATTGGGAGGCATTGCGGCCGGCGGGGCGAGAAATCATCTGCGACCAGCGGGTGGTCCATTTCCAGAGTTGCGAATGCATGAACATCGGCCTCGAACAAGCAGAGTTCGGCAAGTGCACAGCAAGGCTCAAAAAAGGCAGAGCAGTGCAGAGCAGAGTACGTGAAGTTCTGCGCGTCGAGGCTGCGGCATCCCCATGGCTTTGAACTCCGGCAGCTTGAAGTGGGCGAAGTCATACGGCGTAACGACAACACCTAGGCTTCAACGGTCCAACTAACGTGCTGTGAATTGCTGCAAGCTTCTCTTGGGCCAAGTTGCAACGAAGTTGTGCAAGCTCCGATTTTGGAGTCTCGTAGCTCAGACCAGTGCGCCCCGCATTCTTGGCAGCGGCCTGGCACAGGCTTCAACAACATGCTTTGCATTGACTGTTGTTGACACTTGCTAGGATGCTCCAGGCTGCACAAGACATGCCAAAGAAATCAATGTCTGGGCAGGGCCACATCCAAGCCCCACTCCAGGAATCTCAGCTGCAAGCCACTCGGATCCTCGTTTGTTGTCATCGAAACTTCGAGATGCATTTAGCGCACTGCAGTGTTTGGGACCCAGTCCACGATAGCATTCTCCTCCGCGTAGCGAAAGAAAATCCCTGCAGATCCATGCAGCAGGTCTACAAAATCACACAACGAAGGCACTCGCGCAAGAGACAAATGCCTATCGCTTCTGCATCAATAGAAGTGGAGAAGAGCACGGAATCTGGTTGAAGTGGCTGCCAAACATCCTTGACGACCAAAGCTATTGGGCGACTGTGCGGGATCTTGCCTTAGCTTCTGCGCCCAGCAAGACTAGCCAAGCTGGACTGCACAAGCATGTCAGAATGCTCAAGCGTGTCGCAACTTCCATGATGGCAATGAGCGTATCACAACAGACCATGGCTGCCATCATGCATGTAGCTTCTCTTCGGACAAGACACGACCAAATAACCATTCAAACTGGCGAGTGAAGAAAGGAGCAAAGCCTCTCAGAAGAGCACGAATGCCCATCGTCAAGCCCACACATGGCTGCTACATGCTAGATCGATCGGAAACAGGTTGTGTGTTGCAACTCTTCACTACGGGCCAGGGGCGACTAGACACAGGCCATGGCCTACGGGCGAGATTCCACCAAATGCAGTTACAGCTCGCCCTGTATGCTGCCCGCAATCCCCGGACTGATGACAGAATTCTGTATGCCTCCTCCCCACTTTCAGCCATAACTGGCCTACCACTACGGCGTTTCGGAATTCCGGGTCCGCGAGAGCTTGCAAGTGCTCCGCAAAATCATCCTCGCCATCCTCGGGCACCAAGAAGAAAGGCGGTTGGTCGTAGACCTGATTGGTTGGCAAAGAGTCAAGAATCAAGAAGTTCTACACAGTGCATTGCTAGCAGCTGAAGAGGTTCCTTTTGATGGCTTTGCGAATGGACTCTCGGCACTGGAAAGCAAGAGACACATTAGTTCAACGGCAACCATCGCCAGCTTTTGATGCCAAAGGCACAGCGATCATTGATTTCTTGTGGTTTGCGCGCAGCAAGTCCTCCGACTTACTCGGCTGAACATATGGTATCACAGCCGTTCAGAGAATACCTGGCTCCTCCAGCCTCAAGCTTGGATGTCTCACTCATATGGCATGCTGTCGTTTGGCACGAGCACAAGCTAGCAGCTAGCAGAAAAGCTGGCTCGCCACTGTCCAGATGCAAAGCAGCAGAAGGCGGGCAGACACCACGCTGAATCTACTCCTGCAACGCAAGGATCCTCGAAAAGCGTGCACCAGAAGATCGGATGCCCACAAAGAACGAGATCCACATGGGAGTCCATCCAGTCGTAGTACTTGGCAGCAAATTCCTTCTTAACATCCGACCTTACCCCAGCAAGATAACACAGGTCAAGTCAGCACTAGAACATCGACTAACAAACAAATTATGGTCCGGTAGTGTTTGATGGATGCAATCGGGCTGCCAATGGTCATTGCGGTGGTTGCGGTATGCACCTTCCCATTGCCCCTGGCTGTGATCATGGAGTCGCGGAACGCCTGCTGGACACACGGCTCTGTTTGCGTGCATTCTCATCGGAAACAAGTAACGGTACACCGGCAAGAGTGCGAAGAGATCCTTGCCTATCAAGCTGTAGAGGTGCTCGTCTTGACAGCAGTAAGGTATCCTCCAGTCTTTCTGCATCGGCACCGCTGCTTCTAAGTCCTGTGGCAAAAACTTCCGCAGCGGCGAAAACTTCCTGTACAGTGCGAGGTCCAGTGCACCTTCTGGGAGCATGCCTGACCAACACCAGGACAGCATCGAGGGAAGCCCATGTAGTTCCTCACCGTCCATGACTGCGAGAAGCGGCACAGTAGAACAGGGGCCCGGCGTTGCAAACACGACAAACACTCTTGTACCAGTGCAACAGGGTGCGCATAGATCTTGACTGACGATGCGTCTGCTCCACCAGCCGTCTGCCACCATTCATCTAGGAATGTCAAGAAGTCATTGAAGGGGACGACCTTGCGAGCAGCGGCGATTCTAATTGCCATGCGAGCATCACGAAAAAATGATCCCTGACTTCGTTTGCCTGTGCTTGGACGCTGCAAGCAAGCGACATGCATTGCAATGTAAAATACGCTGATACCTCGCAAGAGTCTAGCACGATCCACCAGCACGACAACAGCTCGTCGAATCAGCAATGCAACTGTCAGCTAGAGATTGATTGGAGCAAAGTCGCTTTGCGGTTGGAGTGGTTGCTTGGATATGTAATGTCGGGATCCTGGCAGCGGCCAAACTGCCGGTACCAAGTGTGATAGTGGATGAACAGGAGTCCTCACATGAAATCGCGATGGAGGCAGTTGCGCTTGTCACAAAATCTGCTAAGCACCGCTCGGGTCTGCAGGAAGAGGCGAGAAAGGCATGCCCGTGTGCATGTGTTGAATGTTCCTTGGAGCTGTCGCTCACGGACAAAGCAAGCAGAAAGCAGGTCTAGTCGCAGCAAAGAAACACGTAGACACTCCATGAGGTGATGGGCCAGCCAGAATGCTCAGTCCAATCCAGCTGCCCCTTCTTGAGGAGTTGTGAAATCAGTTGCAGGTACAAGGTCGCCTCGGTGCGTGGCGCGCTCTCATAGACTTAGAGTCATGGAGCCTCGAAGTTGGTTCTCCGGCCTCGTTAAAATCCATGCTCAGGGAGTACCGCCACGCGACGATGTAGAACATGTTGATGTAGCCAAAGAAGCACGACTTCGTCTCAGGCCTGCAGCAGCTGCAGCATGCACATGTCATATCGGCATCGGACATGCAAGCTTGCACAGCAACTGAGACGTCACACTAGGTGGCAGAACCCTACCCCTGTAAAAGATGCCGAAAGCCGTTGCAGCTGAGTCTCTGCAGATGCTTTGGTTGCAGAGCTAGCGCTTGCAGTCCATGAAAGTCCCCGGCAAGATGCCACTGACCCTGGCGCGTTCGGATGGCCAAGCCTTGAGTTTCTACGAGTCGAGACTCAAATCATCCAAGGTCTGTCCTCATGCCTGTGTACCACAGTCTCCTGGCAGGAGCAAAGGCAACTTTAGATTCCTCTTTCCGACAGCCAGGAATCTGCAACACCTGTTGAAACTGCTAAAGCGAACAACAACGATCCTCCTGGATGGTCTTTGCCAGAGAGAAAAGTTTCTCCAGCCACGGATACTTCGGAAGCTCAGCAAGTGATTCAGGAAATCTCGGAAGACCCTGCGGCCTGCAGAGGAGATGCGGAAAACACAAAACAACCTGTGCGGCTGCCACTGACTGTGGCATGCATTTTCGCGCGGAGTCCTATGCTCCTTTGGCAGAACTTTACTTTCAAGTTGTTCGTGGAAGCACATTCTAATACATTCTAACTCGTGAGTTCTGGATTGCCAGGGTGTTCGCAGGCGACGAGGGCCTTTTGTACGGTTCGCCGCCCAGGGTTGCGGCCAACTCAGGTTCCAGCATAAGCCCCACATCCTAACCTCCCTTGCCGGACCACGCGAGCACCTGCTCTCTGATTAGCAAAACTACATCATCATCATCATCATCATCATCGGTTCAGCAGTCTGCCGCTGACGTGCATCAGCATTTGTGTTGTATGTTCCCCTCCCACCGCCCTCGAAGCTGGTACGGTGTGATCCAGCCTGGACTCAAGCCTAATTGGTAAGTCAAATAAAGATAAACAAACCAGATAAAGTATGTTGGCGCGGAGTTGGTGGGTGCAACAGCGCCAGTATGTCCACTGCTTGCCATGCTGAGAATGGGGCACATGTTGAAGAGCTGCGACCATCTCAAGACGAACCGCCTCACGAATTCAACATGTCAGATCAGCGGGCGATTTGCTCGAACGACTGCTTCTTCCCAAGAACATGCTACCAGCAGCAGCAGAGTCGCGTGCCTCCCACCCCTTGTCGAAGCTGCAACTCAGAAAGTCAGGCACGACAATTTCATCGACCAGCGCCCGCGTCTCCTCCAGCCACGAGCTGGAAGTCAAGGATCGATGACTACACGCCAATGCCAAAACGCAAACACACCGGCCTAACGATAACCTCTACAGCAATTCGGAAGAGCTTACTTATTAGGGGGCGTGGCCATGGGCCCGAAGGCAACCTCTCCCGAGCTTCCGCACTCGCCGGAACCGTCTTGGGACTCCTTGGCTCTGCCTTGTTTTCTCAAGCCGATACGTTTTAATTGTGGCCTTTGGCTTTCAGTTTCTTCCGTCAGGCTCTGCCGCATCTTTGTGCTGCATTTGTCGGCTCACTTGTAGGACGACATGCGCTCCACAGTCAATGGCTGGCACGTTCCTTCTGGGAGTCATGTTCCCCTGTGCTTCGCTTCGATCCCTGCATCAACATGGGTGGGCTCTAAAATGGCGGTCGTCGACTTGCTGTGCTCAACACCCAGGCCGCCGCTTCGTTTTTCCGATTGGTCATCGTTGCGGACCTTCATTGTTCGCGTGACGCGTGTGCTGGGCTAAGGCTCGCAATATCTCTCAATTCTTCCCAGCAGAAGATGAGTCCCCTCCCGCTTCTTTTAGAAGGAGCCAACACCCGACCCCTGGTCCGGCAGAGGCCGGCTCATGCTGTATACGATACGAAGAAAAGAGCGGCGCTTCGCAATGTCCCAGCCACACTTTACGCGACGCATTGCCGTTCCGAAGCTATTCTTGTGCCATGCAAGAGCCTTCTCCCACAGCTGCAAAGTGTCTCGCATCCTGGTAGAATCCTGCCACGGCTCGTGTGCCATTGATCTTCAGACGCATCTGCACGACATAGCTGACACAGCTCTTGCAGAGGGCCTTGGCTTCTCCAAATCCATCTGCACCTGCAGCGAGAGCCTGGGCTCAAGCACAACGAATCGCTCGCAAGTTCGTCTCAGAACCGGCGCTTAGCTTCGGGCGAGGAAAATGATGCAAAAGATTGGACCTCCTCCTGTCAGGACAGACCGCTTATCTGTCAAATCGTGGTAGCCCTGGACACTCTGCGGAACATTACACGGGATTTTCTCAGGTCTTAGTGAAGAATGGTGAAGCGCTGACAAAGCCTCTGCAGCCCGTCTGAGGAACGGTCTATGAGTGAACGGTGAGATCACTTCAGGATGGAGTTGGAAGTTGGCAGACTAGACTGATGCAATGCAGCCTAGGACAGCGTAATGTAGGCTAATTCATTCGCAATTCGGAATTCAGATGGTTCCGGGGACGACTTCAGACTTAAGAACACAGGTCCAGGTACGACCAGACAGAAGCTTGCCTCACCAAAGCTCTGCTCAAGCTTCGTGGTTGCGAGCGAAGTTTCAAAATTGGGGTGCTGAACTTGGATTGCATCGGGGTTTGGACAAACCTAACACTAAAACAGGAATTTCAAGTTTGTTACATTTCACACAAAACCGGTTTCTTCGTGCTTTTATGAAATTGGGAAAGCTACGTTAATTTTCGCACGTCGGTCATCCAGCAACATGGGGTCACATAAAATCTTCCATAATCTTCCCCTTGTGCGCGAGGCTTACATGCATTCGAGTGGAAAAAGCCAGGTTGCAGGGAGCTGAAATTCATCATGTTGCCGTTTTGATGGTATCACACAATGCACACTGGGCAAAGTCTGACCAGTCTGCATGCTGTTCAAGAAATAGCAGGGCGCCACCTGCAAATCCATTGAAAACCTGGGTTAGGAGGCCCAGATAGCCCAGCAGGTTTTGCCTTTCTTAGGTGCTGCTTGGCCTCGGTGCAGATTGTCTTGGCTGGCCTGACTTGGCTGCCCCCTCTTGTTTCCGAGGTGTAGCTTGGCTAGGCTTCGCTTGGTTCATCCTGCTCTGGTAGCTACAGGTCTACCTGTGCGCGTGCGGTCTATCTGTGCGCACGCTGCCGCCACAGTGCCGCGTGATTTGCTGAATGCATCTCGTCTTCTGGGGTAACTGCCAGAAAAACTGTTTGCTGCAGTTTCGAATGCAACTGCCTTCTTCCGCATCCAAGCACAAGGTGGGTACCGTTGATGGTCGTAAAATCTCGTTCTTTCCGTGGTTCCACAATCTCTGATAATGTCTCCGCTCGGTTTCCCATTTGCAAGATGGTCGTGTGACGGGTGTGGAAAGAAGTTCTATGGATTTTGAACAATGCAAGGTGTACGGAGGCATGGCTTTTGCGGTTTGCCGGTCTAACAGGTTGCTGGCGGTGGGGCCTCGTGACTCGTGACCTTTGGGGACTTAGTTAGGATCAGGGCAAAGCCGTACTCACTAAGGAAAAAGCCGAGCCACTGGGAAGCCAAGCCAAGCTGTACGAGCCCAGCCAATCGCCTCCAGCCAGAACAGAAGGGGCGAGCCCAGCCAAGCCGCATCCCAAGCCAAGCACTACCTGATGAGACACAGGACCCTAGCCAAGCCACACCTGGTGCGCAGAAAACACCGAGACAAGTGATCCCGGCCCCGGTCAAAGGCTCGACCAATTTATCCTGAAAACATGCATATGAGCCCAAGGCAGCAGACCAGCCTCTGCAAGATAACCCTCAAAACATGCGCTGACCAATCTCCCTCGGAACCGCACACTCACCAAAGCCCTGATGAAGGAAAACGACGTCTTACGAGTTGTCGCATTCTTCACCGCTCGAGACGCGCATGGCCACGCAAAACAAAAGGCAAAGGGATCACTGAAGGGATGTTCTGGGATGTTCTAGTTTTGAAAAGCGGTTCAACGGGCCCAAGCGAACTCGTGGAGTCGACTCTCGAGCCGTGTCCTGCTTTGGCGGCTCCCAGCGCGGCGTCCGTAGCCGTGGCTTTGGCGGCTGCCCGCTGTGCAGAGAGCGTTCGCATGGCTCCATGGCCACGGCGCGGTCACCACCAGAGCTGAATCTGAAGGCATCGGCTACTTTAAAGCCCACTTTCTAAATCGAGTACATAGCAAACTGGAGTGACGAGGTACACTTCCAAGTGAAGCTCGTTCTCAAGCAAGCGTGAAGTTCTTGTACCGGCACGTACTTCTATCGTGCCTTCGCCGGTGAGCCACCATGCACGATGTCGTAAACATCTGCAACCCAGAAAGCTCACAAGGCGACGCGTGGTGGCAAGGCCTGCAGGCGCTTCTGGTTAGCCGTTCGCCCGTCACCTGCCAGGCGAGATCAAGAAGAGCAAGACCGATCCTGCCTGATCCCTGCCTGCAATGGACCAGCCAGGCCGTGAGACACTGTTGCTGGTCAGGTCCTTGAAGCTCCAAGCAGAACAGCTCTGGTCGTTCAACGACAGCAAAGTGCAAGGGTCCAGAATTCGCAGCGTGTAGTTGTTCTCCAAGGCGTCGAGCAATTGCTTGACACCCTGGTTTCCCACGCAGTTCCTGCAATCGGCGCATTGACATGAAGAATAACATCTGTCCCAAGACCTGATCGAGAAGGAGAGATCATCAAGACAGCTCTTTCCACCGGGTGTATGTCTTCCTATGCTGAAGAATCAGATACAACCTCGACTTGGGAGGGTAGCTACAAACCTCAAGTTGAACTACTATGACTCAACAGGAAACCTGTGCCATGCTGAAGTCCTGTTGATCAAGACTTGGCGATGGGAGGACAATCGAGGCTGACATACTCAGCAGGCAGCACACTCAAACTCTGGGCCTGCCCAAGCTCAGAGAGGTCAAAGCCTGCAACAAGCCCCGGGAGCACGACCCGGCTGCACCTTTGTGCGATAAAGAATATAAAGAGCATGCTCCAACCAAAAGCCTGCGTTGAACCTCTTACTGTGCAAACACCAGAGACCGCCTCGTTCCTTTGTAGAGCATGGGCCAGCCGACCGGCGCCCCGATCGCCTACCTCGTGCAGCGGCATTCTTTGACAAGGAAGGTTCATGCTGACCCTGCTGCCTTTCATCTGTAGGGGCAAGTAAGCTCCACATGTTGGAATGACAAATAACAAGCGCACGCATCGATGAGTGATGCAAACAACTTGCTTGCGGAGAAGCCCGTGCCAGAAGATGGTCGAAACAGAAAATGTTCTGCTGGCAATCACATTACTATCGAGAGCGCCGCAAGCCGGACTGTTTGATTCAATCACGGCTACATACCTGAAGCTGCTCTGGGTCCCTCGTGGCCAGAGAGGTCTCAGCACGGTCAAGGTCTTGCAGGTTCTCAGTTGTCGGCAACCGCATGTCGACACTTTCCTGAAGCTTCTTGGGCAGTGGCCCGGTTGCCCTCCAAGGAGAGAGATGTCAAAACGTCGTTGGCGGCTAAGGCCTTCCGGTTTCCAAACTCCAATGGAAAACTCGTGGGTGGACGGAGGACTTGTGGAGCCTCGGCTAAATGCTCGGCGGCCTGGTCGCCGAGGTTGCCTTCGCGTGAAATGAGCTGGTGCAGACATGGAACAGCTTGGCCGAGGCAATCAGCACAGGGCTAAGACGGCTGGGAGCCGAGCATTCTACCAGGGCGAGGCGCAAGACCTCACAAGAGATTGAACTCTGATTGTCATGCAACTGAGAAATGCAGAGTTGGCCGTAGCCTAGAGATCACGACCCGACACGAGCAACTCAGGCAGGATTGCAGCAACTCTTCGGCCATGACAATGAGACCGTGACATTGGGATTGCTGTGAAGATGATCAGCAAGTCTGGAAGCTTCCTCCCCGCACGTCACGCAGAATTGCATCACCATGCAGAGGTTCGCTGTTAAGCTCTTTGCGCGATCGTGTTCACTTTCACTCTAGCAGACATAGCTTGCGACGATAACCCACATGTTCAGGGCACTCCAAGCAGGTGATACCATTTGTGTGAGCAGAGTTGCAGAAGGTCACGTACGGCGATTTTTGCGCATGACAGACAGCTGACTCTGAAATCCGTGTTGATTGGCAGAAGGGTCGAGAATGCGGATCGAGGATGCAGCTGGTTCATCAGGCCGTAATAACATCGAAAGGCTCTCGGTCGGGACCGTGGCAGACAGTTTCGCTCCCGAGTGTCCGCATATGAGCCAAACGCCACAGATTTGGAGCCTTGTTCTACAAGTTCAACAAGCACCATGTACACAAGCATAGCAGCATCCCGCATCTAAGAATATGTACATTAAAGCTTCTGGTGCTTTCCTCTTAAGCACATGAGTTTATATGCAGCCAATGGAAGCTGAAGGTGCCCTTGCTTCTGAATGTGCAATTTTTTGAGCATAGTGAATGCATGGATTTCTTCGGAGCATGTGGTCAAGACCGGCTGCAATGTCCGATGTCGACCTTCGATTTGTTTCAAATCTCACACTTGACGGACCTTTGACCTTCATGGCAATCGCAATGCAACCTCCCACATGGGTATCCTCGCCAGAAGTAGGCAACTCTAGACGGACATGGCCAACATGAGGCAGCTGATGAAACCGCTCAGTCGCAAGCACTCTCTTCAGGAATGCTGCTCAAGCACTGGCAGCTGTCAAACAGCTTCGCAGATCGAGAATAGCACCACTAGGCCAGAGAACATGCAGGGGTACTGCCAGATGATGACTTCACAGTTGGGAAGGATCGCCCGAGTAGATTCCCGCCTATGTTGTCGAACAGTGGGTCTAGCATGCGTGCTTGAGGCGGTGTGCCGCCGAAACTCCCGACGAACTGGCGTTCGGGCGAGACTTGGCCATTCCCGTCCGTCGACGAGGTCGACAATTGTCGTGTTGAAGCTGTACCCTGGCAAGCTGGTCAAAGTGCCCGCCGATGCTCGTCCAGCTGGAGTTGAAGCCATATCGGTACTGTAAGGGGGTTGTCAGCAACGGCTGTACGAAGGAATTCGGGGAGGCCTAGATGGAGGTGCGCTTGCTTGGGCAAATAAGCTGGTGGGCGACGCTCGTGGCAGGATGCCTCCTGGGGTTGTCTTGCAAAAAAGCGACCCTTCGAAGGCAAAGGGAGAAGGTTTGCTTGTGGGTAGAGTCGTCGCGTGGACGCGCCTACCGTTGAAGCAAGGGGCAAGTCTCCTCAGCTTCGCCATCAATCACATCATGCAAGGAAATAGCGTATTCTCTGTTGGCACGACTAAACCAGTATACTGGAGAAGTGGAGCTGGCAGTACCTTAGAAATCTTCGGACAGCATCAGAATGCGCATCTCGCATCCTCGTCGGTCAGCATCACTCCGACCAAGGCCAGCTTTGTGACCTCCGAAGCACAATCGCTTGGTTTGCGTTTCTTCCTGCAGAGTCGGCTACTTACCAGCAAATGCCCACAGCTTTCTGCACTACCCCTAATTCAGGGAGAGCTCAACTTTCTTCGCAATCTCCTGTGACTGTGACCGGGCCAGGTGCACAAAGCTGGACAGGCAAGGGGCCGAAGCTCCGTTGGCATCCGTGGCCAGACAGTTCACAGCTTCCGAGAAAGACGTGGCACGATGCCAGGCATCCATGTCCTGGCCGACTTGCTGCAGTTCGCTCTTGCAAACTCCGAGCACCCCAGTGTCCTCTGGAGCTTCAACTCCCGCACATCGAGCCCGCCTGCCCTGCTAGCGGAGAGCACGCCATGGCCCACAAGGATGTCAGAGTGGCGCACCTTCGGCACGCAGCCGGAGGGAGGCGGTGACAGCAGCTCCGCCTGCGGCAGGCAAATGCATTGAAACTGTGGTGCAAGCATGCTGAAGCTGTCTTGCACGCACTTCCGAACCTTCTGTTGCTTGTGCCGCCTTGATCTGTCAGTCGAGCTTTCGGACCTTGAGTCCAAGTAATCACTCTCAGTGTGGCTTCTTATTCACCGAGGGGTCGCCTCTCCGTCGAGGCTTCCGAATCCAGCGGCCAAGTGGTTAAAACTTTCGCAGAGATCGGAGCCTCGTTTTGCAAAAACCTATTGCCGGAGCATGCATCGACGTGCCAAGCAGCTCCTCTTCCAGCTGCTCCTGAAGCAACACCTGATTCCACAGGTGTGGGGAAGCAGAAATTGCACCTTTGCACCTTGTAGACACTAGTTCACCGTCACTTAGAGATTGCCTCGCCCAACGTGGCGCCGGGAGGTGGCAACACGTCCGGCGTGGAGCGTACACGAGCCCGGCTGGCCTGCTCGGTCAGTTTACCAGCTCACGGCATAATTGAAAGGTCTGTTGCCTGGTTGCGCTGAGGACACACCCGGAAGGTCATGGCACCCATTGCGGCATGGGTGACTCATTGAGACGACAAGTCAATGCGGCATCTGGTCTGAGGAAGAAGTTGCAAACAGATGCCATGATAGATGTCGTTGGGAGTTTAAAGATTCAGCCATTTTGGTGCTGCTGCCATTCGTTAAGAACTCCAAACGCAGCATTTATGCAGCGTTTAGACCAGGTCTCGCATTCTGCAACGTTGAAGGCTTTCCCGGACAACACTGTCTTGAAGAACCCGCATAGAGTTGATTGATTGAATAGCTAGAGTCTTTGAACGAAACTCACTCGGAATGGTGTCTTGAAGAGGAATGCTTACAAACGTATGCAAAAAGATGCAACAAGCTGGCGCAGAAATCCTGAGCCGTTGAATCACACGAAAGCAACAAGGAAAACCCAAATCACAGAGAAGCTCGGCGAGTGACGTTAACACATCTTGGAAAACTCTGCGTTCCTCAAGTGCACGATTCCGCAAGACATGAGTCAATCTTGCACAGAATTTGAAGAGTCTACTCTGCACTCATGTCGGTTCGATTCGTTCCCGCTCTCCTGCTGTGGTTGGCTAACAAACGGCACATCAAATCTGTCGATTGGTGTAACTGTCTTCGTTGCTCTACCGGTGCAGACCCGGTTCATGTCCCAGACGAGACCTACTCGACATGTCTCAATTTAAATGTGTCACAATACCAGAAGGCTAGGCCAGCGGCTACCCTGCATCTGCACTGGTACTTCCTGCTCGTCTGCCGCAGTGCCGCAGTGTGCGAAAGAACCACAAGTCAGGGCTGTGGATCGGTGGGGCTGCAGTCAAATGCCATGTAGGCATAACACATGTCGTGGACGACGTGTAGCACAATCCCCGACAAACCAACGATAGAAGGCAACAGCGTTGACCATCCTCGCACTCGAACCATGTCCAGCTGACCTCGAGTCCGACCGGTCACCGTAGCAGAACTGGCCACCCCACTCGACAGGTCCTTGACCCGACCCCGACCAGAATATGCTGAAACCATACCAGACGAAGGTTGATCATTGATGATCATGGATTCACACTGCATCTTTGGCTCTCCCTGCTTGATTGTTTAAAGCTATCTATGCGAAGAAACTCTGATGGCAATCAACCTCCTAAATCAAAGTGTACCTGCGCTGTCATTCATCCATGGGATTGCACCAGGATCTGCTGGGCATCAGAAACAGCGAACAAGGACCCGACCATCTGAAGGCCCCGTTTCTTTTTGATAACCACGCTAAAATGCTGAGCAGACGTTCTGTGTCTTCTTCTCACTTCAGCTTGCGAATAGCAGGCCTGCCCCGGCCCAAAACTCCACGCCCACAATGCTTGGCTCAGTCGCCGTATGATTGCGCGCGTGCCGAGCCACACTACACTGACTGGGTCATATCCAGCTTAGAACAATCCGCTGGAATGCAGGAGCCTTTCCTGCCAGGCCTGCTCCCAATCATTGCCACTGAAGTTACGTGCACTGAGCGAGTCAGAACGGGGTGGGGCCTCTTTGCAATCATTTTTGACTGCAGCCCGTGTGCTTCGGGTACACAACGGCAAAACCTAAAGATGGAACCAGTGCTCGAATGAGGGATGCACAGATGTCGTGCCCCGGTGCAGGGTGCGCGCAGGGGATTCTGACGTCTGGGTTGGCTTTGCGACAACTGCGAAAGGTTCTGATATTTGACACCGTCACAGACACACATGATTCGAGTGCTTCCAGACCCTGCGTTTTGAAACTCGCGGCTCTTGTGAACCATCTCCATCTTGACCGAATCTGCAGATGGTAAGATCAACAGCTTGAACCGACGTCATGCAGCTGCAAGCCTGGAAAGCCCACCGGAAGTAGAAAGCGACTCGGGATTGCTGCTCCGACGGTATGACTGTCAACAACATTGTCCAATAAGCGATTTCGTAGCCTGCACCGGAATGCTTTCAGGCCCCTTCGCACTCACATCCAGACAGCTGAACTGTTGCAGTCAGGCAAATGGCACTGTTTATGACGCTGCTTCTGATGATGGTCCGTCCATCTTCGGCTTCTCCAAATTGTCCTCACGAGAGCTTGAATTCTGCGCAAGCATACTGTACCGGATCGCTCCGCAAGATCTACACAATCGGTCCGGCTTGAGCACTTTGATGCCGGATTGGCCAAAGAGCCTGAACAGGACGTCGGAATGGGGGTTTGCAAAATCTGCGTCACATCAACTATTGCCATGTTTATTGACCCGTTAGATATGTCAAACAGTGTGCTGCAGATCTTTGCCAGGCAAGCCTCACGGCATAGCGATCTTTTCCATCCATCTGGCCACAAAGGTTCTCATGTGCTATCTAATATTGCTGCGCTGCACAAGGGTGCTGTCAAAATCGATGCGATGGAAATCAAGACGCTGCTCCGCAACCAGGTCAATAACGACCATCTGCCGATTGCATGGTCTGAAGCATACATAGCCAAGGGGCGTAGCTTTCGACCACACAGTCTTGACCATTCAATGCCTCTGCAAACGGATCGGGGGCACGAGTGGTCATGTCGAAATGGTCCGACTGCATCTTGTGATGAACCAACTTGCCAGACTCTGTAGCCCGAGCCGATGTACGCATGTAAGCAGAGAGAAGAGCTTGAATCCTGAGTGAACTAAAGTCTCGGCAAGTAAAACCAGAACTGCAAATAACTGCATGATGTTGCATGTGGCTTTCCGTCTGCGTTATGTGTCGTATGACCGTCTTGCTGTGGTTTTTGGATCCTGCGAAAAATGCTCATCCGGGTGACACTTCGACATGTTTCAACACGATGTGGTGGTAGTGTCAACAGGACGTTTGCAAGGGTGGCCACGCGGCATCGTCACGCATCTTGAGCTCAATGCCGTCCCATTCTCGCTTCATGTGAAAACCCTGCAAACGAAGATGGCCTCCAGATTCTTCGCAAAGCAATCGACAGACCAGCAATCACACAGCAATGAACTCTGATTGACGTCCTTGGGTCCTACACAATGACTAAGACACTTTGACAAGCAGTACAAGAATCCCTGGTGGGGAGCATGTACACTGTCAACTTGCGAGAAAAAACCGCTTGAAGTTGACTAGGCTGATAAGTTAAAATGTCTTCCCGTGCTTTTCAACCCCCCCCCCCTCTCGCAAGACTAAACCAACATATTGAGGTGGGTGAGGTGGGGTGCGAGGTGTGAGGTGTGAGGTGAAAGGTGAGACGTGACAGGTGAGAGGTGTGCGGTGTGCGGTGAGGTGTGAGGTGAGGTGTGAGGTGAGGTGTGAGGTGTGAGGTGTGAGGCGTGAGGCGTGAGGCGTGAGGCGTGAGGAGTGAGGTGTGAGGTGTGAGGTGAGAGGTGTGAGGTGTGAGGTGAGGTGAGGTGAGGTGAGGTGAGGTGAGGTGTGATGTGAGAGGTGTGAGGTGAGGTGGGAGGTGAGGCGTGAGGTGAGGTGTGAGGTGAACCAGGCACGAGCCTGGCCTAACAAAAAGGCGCCCCCGGCGCAAGGCCTAAAAGAGCCAGCCCCAGCAGCAACAACAACAACAACACGAAACGACGACAGCGAGGATGATTTTCCACACACCACTGCCTTTTTGCGATGTCTGCCGTGTCTGGCAAATCTCGGTCACAAATCTGCCTGCCGCGCCACTGTCCGCCTGTGGGGAATGGCGTCCGGAGCAGACCCTGCTCCCGCCCCTGGGCTTCCATGAGCGTCAGTGACGCCACTGATGCCTGCCGCCTGTCGACCCGCGTCCGGAGGAGACCCCCGTACTCTTCCGGCCCGGGGCGTGACCCTCCCCACTGCATGCCTTGGTGCCGCCGCCGGGGTCCTCGAATACAAACCAGCAATGAAGAATCCCCAACACAAACCCGGAGGTAAACAACATTTTCCTTGGAAAAGATATTACAGGTAAGGGGCAATGTTCCCATTGTTCAGTGCTAAAATCTAAGCCTCTAAGCATTTCCACAGACCCTGCTGTCTTGCAGTCCTACGTTTCTGCTGCTCCTGCTGGTTGCAGCTGTTGCAGTTTCAACATTCTAATGACTCTAGCCCAAGTACACCCTCGGTCTTGCAATCTTAGGGTTTCAGAGAGAGACAGAGACAGAGACAGCTTCGATACAGGCGACCCCGTAAGGGTACCCGTAATGGGCCCTGATCTTCGTGTGCATCCCAGGGCCCGGGGCCAAAAGCTTCCCGCAAAGAATACATTGTACAAGGGGACCCTTTCATGGTTTGAGGAAGCGATGAGTTCTAGATTCTAGATGATCAACATCTGCAGAATGAGTATCAATGCTGAGTTTCACAAGCGCGTCACCTCCAGCCCCAGCAAGAGAGTGCCAATTTCACAAATGGGCTTCGGCAAGATTGTGCTCGGAGGCACAAGGAATTCTAAACACGAGACAAGTCTACGGAAAGAGCAGCTCCAAGGACCTTGTACACTCGATGACTATTCCATGAGCTTCGCCATGGTGCTTCCTACAGGCGTCCACACCACATCTGATTCGAAACAAGCTTTGTCTGTGCGATGTGAAGATATTGCAATTACGTCTTCAAGTAGTGGCAAGACCGCATCTATCATTCCTATAAGGTTGTCGGAGGTTCCAGCTACGGTGTTCAGTGTTCGAAACAGCTCGGTGAAGGTACCCAAGGCGCTTGAGGTTACTGCTGGCAGCTGTATCAGCACGGATGGTCACACGGAAAGGAAGGACAGTGTATCTGGTGCTGTGTGACGGTCGGGGATATTCGATAAACGCAACTTCAGCCTGAAGTGGGCAAGGAGTGTGCAAACACAAGTGGTGGCTTCTGGACACTGCTGGGACTCACAGAGTCCCAAGGCCTGTGGAGTCGGGTGCGTATGGGGCTGTTGACAGAGCTCAACCGTGGTGCATGGAGCGGCAACAATTTTTGAAATACTCTGATCGACTTTGCAGAACGGACAAACTTCCCCCCAAGTACTGGCGAACCCAAAGGCACACCCGATACGCTTTCCCCGAAGTACCGACGGATTCGACGGCACACCCAAAACCCTTTCCCCCCAGTACCGACGGATTCCGGACTTCGAAGAAGGATGGGTGCGACCGGGTGCGACCTGCGAAAAAAAAAAAAACACACACACACACACGGTCGCACCCGAACCCAAGACCCCTTTCCCCCATTTACTGCCGCCTTCGACAGAGGAAGCGACATGCCCTCCCCCAAGTACTGACGAAGGAACGGGCGGCACAGACACGCAGAGTCTCCGCAGATGCTAGCAAGATTTCCAAAATCCTGCTTCCAATCCCACAGGACATCTGAAGCTTCAACTTCAAACAAGTTGTTGCCAGCGGAGAAACTGGGATCTTCAGGTCACGCAGATGCATCATAACAAGCACTTCCTAAGCAATCGGCCTGGCCAGCTTCTGAGGCGAGGTTCACGATTCGCGCCTTTCGCCCTTTCCGGAACTTCTTGGGGCCACAGATCTGGCCGCCTTCACCACACCTGCCGAAAACTGCAGAGGCAAACAGAGACACGGCTTCGCCAGACGATGACTTTGGTAGCTCAGAGCTCAGAACGTGTTGAGGGTGCCACATTGCACATGGTGGTACCGGAGGCCTGAATAGCCCATGGCAGTAAAGAACACACAGCACTAGGCCTGCGAGGCAACACCTACAAAGCTTTGCACACTGGCAGCTACTGGCTACAGATACTGTCTACCGACGGAACGCAGCCCAACACTGATGAGACACCACCTTCGTAAGCGCCCAGCGGACTTGGAAAGTGCGACAGGCCCATTATCACCATGTCGTTCTGAGCCTGGCAGCTCTGCTGCTGGAATCTTAGAGACAAGTACTCCAAGGCTCACCCGTTCGGCACCAATGGTCGTGAAGGGCTCCGTGGCATAGTTGTGGCCTAGAGTCTATAGCAAGCCTACCAGGATTCTACTTGAGGGCGCTTGCGGGCGCAGGCCGGGACAGACCACCACCGCAGGATCCATGGTGCTCAGCCTGAGCAACGCGTAGGCTGCGAATCTCCACACGAGCAGCCTCAGACTTGTCCCTCGCACATGTCCGCACCTGGCTAGGGAACTCATCATTTCTCGCGGATCGGATCCTGTGACCAGGCAACAGAATGATGATCGATCAAGAACTATTCAAGAGTGCACTCATCCTCAACCTCAAGAACGAGATGCAAGAAGCAGTCCCGGCAAATCCGTCCGTCCGCAACTGCCAACGAAGAGCGTGTCCCTGGGGGGGAAAACTTGACAATGCAACTCAGCTTCGTCAGTAACTCATTCGAGGCCAATGCCCTGTGATCAAGAGGCCTGCCTCCCAAACTTGCAAGCGCCGGTGTAGCAATTTGCGGCAGCGCACGCACTTCAATCAGACATGCACCATCCTTACAACCTTCGGGGTGTCAACAGCGACCTCGGCCTTCGTCCGCGCTTCTTTCAATCCGGTGCTGCCAATCCTCAGAGGCTCAGAGTGACCATCGTGGCGGCAGAGAGAGCTGAGGACCCAGAAAGGAAGTGCTCGACTATCTTCCAAGCGATGCACGTCGACCGTGGGGAGAGGCCACGAGGGGCCGCAAACACACAAATTGAACCTCACCATGACTGCACACTGTTAACGGATCAGCATGCTCAATGAGGCCAAAAAAGCAGACCTGACTTGGTAACTTAGTACTGGTAGGCGTGTCTCCGACGGCGAAGAAGGCTGTCGCTGCCCAGACACCCGGTGTGTGTCCAGGCGTGCGGAGAATGTGCAGAACCAGGTCTCCGCAGGGAATGACCTCTAGGGGAATCACTGTGCCGTTGATGAGCACAGCAACACAAGAGTCAGCAGGAAAAATGAAACAATCCTGGACTAGGTACTGGGCACAGAAACTGAAATCCGGAGTTGCTACTTGACTCATGAGGTCTCAGGAGCGTTTGCACATGCCTAGAGTCCAGGCGGCCTCTCGAGAAAGCACTCTGGCTAGGACGCTTCTGTAAGGGCTTGACATCACCATCGCGCATGGCCACGACCTGCAGAGCAGCGTTGCTGGTGTTTCGTCTCTCTGGGGCTTGTTGAAACCCAGCCGTTGCCTCTTTCAAGCTGCATTGCTTTTGGATCTGCTCTGCGTCACCCTGGGCAAGTCGACCCTTTCCGCGAATCTTTCCGAGGAGGGCCTAACCAGCCTGGCCTGCCCTGCCCAAATGGTCCCTCCAGCATCTTCCACTTCTTTGGCCCCAGAGAGGAACACCTGCACTTTACTTTGACATGCCCACAGGAACCCTGAAGGCTGCATTCTCCAGGCCGGCCTTCTGTCCACCTGTGAACCTTGTCATTTTACTCAAAAACACACAGACTCAACATCCAGCACTGGGCAGCAGGCATGGGGTGGACGTCACCACCACAGTGATCGAAATGATAATGAGTGTACACCTGTCTGAGCTGCTGCATCAGATCCACGGGTGCACAATCATAGTTGCCAGATTGCTGAGTGAAACATATACCGCCCTAGATTTGCTGCAGGGTTTTAGGTGCGGAGCACACCCTCGAATAGTCACCTGGCAGTCAGTGTCACCAATCCTTCGGCACCTGCGACAGCTGGCGCGATCTGGCGCCTCCAGCTCAGCCGCCAACTTGTAAAGACCTGGCCACGGCCCCCTCTCGTACAGGGCGCAATTCAGTCTGAAAGGTTGTGACTTATCCACGAAGAAGCAGTCAAATGACAAGCCGACAGACAGCAGCAATTCCAAGCGGACCGATGCCGAGAATTGAAAAGACGTTGATGTCCGAACCTGCCCTGAAGGCTACGAGAGTGATTCACTTCATGATGTCTTCTAGCCACTCAGCGATACTCACCGCCTTCCACGTCCCAGGCCGCATCCACGGCGATTGCTGAGCGATCCAACGTGTTCACCACCTGCTTGGCCAGAGTAGAAAGCAGAAAACAAAGGACAAAGACAGCGGGTGAGGAAGACAAGGAGAAAGAGGGCGGGTGGGAGGGAGGGGAGGGAGGAAGGCAGGGAGGGAGCCGGCAGAGAGAGTGGCAAAGTGAGAGAGAAAGATCATCTGACAGAAACAGAGAGAGAGAGAGAG